AATTAATTAGCCTCAGACATAAAATTGACCAAAAAAATAAATGTGTACACCAAAACTAATTAGGCCTAACCACTGCTGCTATCCACATGTTAAACACAGCCTGAGCTACCTTTTCAAGAGTTTCCTCTATATGTGCAGCTGCATACTGAATACAGTAGACATCCTCGAAGTACTGTATGCAAAGAGTTACAACAAATTCAAGTTAATAGCTATCTAAAAAAAGTTTTTAAAATTTATAATTTAAGTATCATTAAATTTAATATATACCTTGTTAGGTAATGTGATAGGGGCATGGGTGATAATGTCCTTCAAGAATCTCATCAAGCAATAACCACAGTCATTGCTCTGATCTGGCTGGAGTGGACATTGTGCAAAAAAATCACATATCAATAAAATAATAGTTAAAAGGCCACGATTTGTTAATTAAAAACTCAGTCCATTAGGTTTACCTTAACTGTGACCCATGTCTCACAAGAGTCCAATACCCTTAAGTTAGGGGACAAGGTCTTGTTGGTCGCAGTTCGATACAAGACCACAGCTCTAAGAAAGAAATAAAGAATAAATGTTAGAAATTCAATATATATGGATATTAAAATAACAATTAATAAAAATTCAACTTACTTATTAAAAAGTTCTACCATATCTGGCCTATTACTTGGTTCTCCGTTAAGAGGATCAAGATACCAAATTTTTGAAGCAATAGGGTTAACCACAATAAGCATCCAGTGCCCCCTAATAAAAAATAACAAGTGTTATCAAATAAGTAAATATAAAAAATATTTACTTGTACCAAAAGTAGCTAGAAAGTGGCTTACCCTTGACAGTAAGGAGCAAGAAATAAAGTATCATTGCTTGCTCCCCTATCCTTAAATTGATTTGAAAGCTGCCTTGCTTGATCTTCAAGAGCTTCCTTTGTAATTCCATTATAGGCAGAGACATCGTGGGGATTAATCAGCTTGAATCTCGACTCAAGGCCGCTAGGAACCACAAATGAGGTATAAAGTTATCCAACAATAATTGATATAAAAATTTTATCCCAACAATCTATTTTGTCCTATAAATTCAATATAACTCAATCATATCTAATCAAGTTATCCAACAACAAAATTAATCACCATCATACAACAAGAGAAGAAATTTTCAACAAATTCATAAAATGCCCAATAGTAAATTAATTTTCATATAATCTTAAATTTAATTTCAGAACTAACAAAGAACTGAAAACAAAAGCCTATATACATTCAATCACAAATCGTAGTTCTAATGAACAAAAAATTCATATTCCAATTGCTAATTCCAATCAACTCCCTAATTACAATCAATTGACAATAATATCACAAGGAAGAAGGATAGGCCAACTTACTTAAGAGAGGCAGAGCACGAGGACGAAGAAGAAGAGCAAGGGAAGGAGGAAAGAAGACAACTCGCGTTTTGCACTGTTGAGAAGCAAGTAGGGGAATTTGAAGTCAGATTTACCCTAAACACTAAACCCAAAAATGAATTAAACAGATGAAGAAGAAATTAAACTTACATATGGAAGACGGAGAACGAACCCAAAACGCCCGAAATGAAGACTTGGATGAACGAACAACCCACAAACCCCAAAAAATGGAACCCATGAGCAAAACCCAAGAAGAATTGAGTCTAAATTTGTGTTTTTGGGCAGTTTTAGTGACGGAAAATGATTTTCGAGCACTCTGGGTGTATTTTTGAAAACGTTCGAGTTGCAGAAATGTGAAAATGAAAGGTTCTGGAGCGTAAATTTAAAAGGCAATACTTGATGGTTATTTCATAATAACCGTCAAGTATTTATTACTTGACGCTTATTATTAAATAACCATCAAATAAAACTCAGACATACTTGACGGTTATCAATAAACAAGTATCAAGTAATTAATTTTTTTATTTTTCCTTTTAAACCATATATTTGACACTTTTTTACAAATAACCATCAAAAAGACAATACTTGACGGTTATTTCATAATAACCGTCAAGTATATATTACTTGACGCTTGTTATTAAACAACCGTCAAATAAAATGCAGACATACTTGACAGTTATTAGTAAACAAGCGTCAAGTAATTAACTTTTTTTATTTTTCCTTTTGAACCATCTATTTGATGGTTTTTTACAAATAACCGTCAAGTCCTCCGAAATATACTTGACGGTTATTGTAAAACAAGCGTAAAATATATTTATAAAAAAATCAAATCTGGGATGCATATATATTTGACAGTTATGCCAATATAACCGTCAAATATATACTAAATACTTGACGGTTGTTTTGAAACAACCGTTAAGTATTTAGCGCCTTTTTTATTTGTCATTTTTCACTTATAACCGTCAAATATAAGCCGTCATATTTAGCTTATTCTGTTGGAGTGAGTCTCTCCTCTTCTCCTCTTGCACATGAAATTGAAAAAACTCCCACAAAGTGCCTCCATTGTTGTAGTCAACCATCGTGCATTGCTCCAACATGAAGACGCCTCCTCCTTTGCCATTGTTCATTGTCTTGGATTCGCTGTCTTTGGGTTTCAATACTTCTTAGTTCAATGCATATTTTCTTTGTGTTTTCTGCCTTTTCTTTCAATATCCATTAATTTCTTGGTTGTGAGAATGATTTATTCAATGTGTTGGACTTTTATTGATTGATTTTACTTGTTTAACTTTCTTCTCATTTGTTGCTTGATTTTGGAATTGTGGGTTGTTGAAAATTGATAATTTTTGATGTGTTCTTTGCTTGAGAATGCTAATGGATGATATTAGTAGCCTTAGGATGATTATGAGGATGGAAATAAGTGATCAAAAGGATATTCCTTATGATTGTATTTTTCTATAAATTTTTTGAATAATTTTTTGTTTAAATTATATGCCTTGCTTGATCAAAATAGTTTTATCATTATAAACTATATATTGAAATGTATTAATGTGCCAAATTTCATGATAATTAGAGTTGATTTGAGTGATCGAAATTGATGCTTGGTTTCTCTAAAATTCTTAGCTATTGTGTTAAGATTTTGACATTGCTAATGAATGATGTTTTCTTAGCTTGAAATTGCTAATGTAGGATATGAGTAACTTTAAAATGATCAATGAGACGAAAAACTAACTAAGCTAATGGAATTAGTTAGTTAAAAACTATAACACCTAGTTTTTTTGTTTAACCATACCACTACAAAATAGAGTTTTTAGTACGCCAAATATACTTATTTACATCACTTTTTAGAAAAGTGAGGTAAAAAATATAACCAGTGGTATTTTTATAAATAACTATTAAATAAATATATCTATTTACTTTATTTTTTTGAAAAATGACTTAAAAACCAGAGAAATCATGTAGCCATTCAACGCCCTTCTAGATCCTGATGTAGCCATTCAACGGTCCAACATTGCTATTGATCACAAAATGTTGCAAAAACGTTATAATGGTGACATTGGACAAGTCTGCTAGCTTGAGGTTTCTTTCTTTCCATGTTATATGTGTATAGACATATGCGTGTATGTTGTTGCATCTATGCATAACCTGTAATTTTGTTAACATAAGGACTTATTATGGTCATAATTTGCAGAACTTGTTGTGTGTTAGCATAAGGCCTCTGCTAGATAGAGTATATTATGCCCTGTATGGTTGTCGGGATATTTTTCATGGGTATGTGAACTGTAATGGGTTTTGAGAGAGTTTGGAATTAATATATATATATATATATATATATATATATATATATATATATATCTGTTTATGTCTCTTGTTAGTTAATATTCTTTGATTAGTGGGTTCCACACATGGTCTGCCATTTTGTCTTTTGAATGCACATGTGTGTTGTTGTGGATCTGAGTCCAATTCTTAGTTTACCTAGCTAGGCACTTTTGAATTGTGATGTTTGATATTTTCAACGGTAAAAAGAAGCTAAGTGGAAAGACTTGGATAGATTGTCCTTGGTTACATAATTCTAGAACACAATTTTTTTTCTAGACATTTACAAACACATATATATATTCAAATATTCAAATTTCAACTCTCTTGCTCAGTAGAAAATACTGTTAGTGCAAGAGCTTTGATGGAGCCATTAGACTTGATGAATTCATATGAACTTTTTGTTAAGTATGTAATTCATAGTTTTTTTTTTCAAATAATAGATGGTTTTTTTTTTTGGATTGAGGGTTCAACAACCTCAATTAAAAAAAAAGATTCTATTTTTAAAAAAAATATCAGACTTTCTACCTCACTTTTTAAGTAAAAAGTGACGAAAAAAGTCCTGGAATCCATGTCATTTTTTAAGTAACAGTGATGAAAGTTTTACTCACGTTACTTTTAAAAGTCATGTGGATAATCTAACTTTCCATATCCCTCAATATATGTCCCCCCAATTTTAACATGGAAAGGCTTAAAAAAGTTACGTTAAAGGTGTTTTTTTGTAATGCCATCATGCCTCACCTATATATGACCTATTTTTTAATTGTCATTTTTGTTGGTATCTTATATCTAGATTTTTGTAATAGTGCAAGAAAAGTTGGTTAATATTTTAATTTTCTAAAACTTTTATGCTATGTTTGAATACATTTGGATTTAAATTTGAATTTGAGCTAAATTTATTTTTTGAGTAATTAAAAATGTACGGATTTAAATTTGAATTCTACCTCAATCTCTTTATTGTAATGACTCTAAATTTTAATTTAAAAAAAATTCTCTAATATTTTAATAAGTTTTATAGCAATTAAAAAGTGATAGTTTATAGGAGATTATGCTAGAAACTTTTGCAAGGATCTAGAGTCTAAGCCGAAATTTGGTTTTAAATTACAGAAAAATTTTGAGTTCTTTCTTGTAATTTTCTTGTGTCTTTTATTGTAATTTTCTTGTGCTCTTTTGAAATTTTTCCATTTCTTCTTTTACTTTGAATCAGTTCATTTACGCGAATAAAAACAGAGCATCTCGATCATTCTTTCTCACCGCCATTCTACACTTCTTTAGAGCCTCACATAGTCGGTTCCTCTCTCTAACCCTTGCCTACAACCTTACTTGGTTGCCGGCTGAGAGTTTTCGTGTGGCTGTTGCTTCATTTGCTGTCATCATTGTCATTGCCGGCCTTATCGTTCCCCTGCCAGCCACTGTGAGTTGGATTGCTAATATTTTCCACTGTTATCGTGCTATTCTGTGTCACCGAGAGTCTGTCACTGTGTTGCTGTCATTGCTGTCACCTTCTTCCTTTCCTTTATCTTCGTTCATCTGTCACGGTGGAAGAGGAAGATACAGTTCTATCGTTCTTCTTGGTTACAGGGACGTTAGAGGTGAGTGCAAGTTCAGACTTCATCCTTCCTTTATTTTGTCTGCTGAATGTCCGTGTGTGAGGAAGCTTTGGTTTTAAATTTTTATTTATCTTCCTGTCAATAATTTCGGGCTCCATCTCCTCATCTTTGTACAGCTGAGTTGAAGCACTAACACTCTTCTTTGTTTGGTCTCAGATCTCGGTGCATAGTAGCTATCATTACACTTTGATAGAGGTATAATATTGATTCTTCTTCCTATTCCTTCAATTCCAATAGTGACGTGAATCCTTCCTTTTCCCTTTCACTGGCTGATATTGATGCTCTATTCCTCAATAGTTCTATCATAAGACTTGTAGGAAGACTTAGGTGTTGTTTTAGTTAATATTAGACACTCTGCTTTCTTATTAAGCGAAGCTGAAACTATGGTGAAGAAACTAAACGTAGAAATTATTGATTTTGCTTGGATGCTAGCCATGTAATTTAGTTAATTATGAAGGTTCTTATAATGCTTGTAGGAATTATTGAAAGAGGAAATTGGTGGAATTAGGATTATTAAATTTTATAATAAAGCCTGGAGAAATTACAAATGTACATAGTGACAAAAGAATTGTTGGGATATGTGTTAGATTAATTTTGGAGCACCATTGAAATAAGCAAGAAGTTGTGAAAATTAGACCATAAGATTTTAAAAACTCAAGTGAGTGGATAAGCGTTTCAAATGAATTTTTAGTAATTGTTTACAAAATTCCTTTACTTAAATTTTAATATTATTTCTTTATTTGTTATATAAACATTCTTGTTAATTCTACTTTTAAAATAATTATTTTATTAATAATGAGATCTTGATTTTACTAATGATTTATGCTATTGATAAATAATAATTAAAGTTGATATACGATAAACAATGTTACTTTTCAAAAAAACAGCTCAATTGTTTAACTTTATATTTGATATGCAAACCTTTAGCACAACAACTTGTGCATGGAGGAAATGACAATGAATATGAGAATGAAAAATGACAACCGAACTGTATATTTTGAAAGTGAAAATTTTAAATTTGTTTCCCACTCCAAGCACGCTTGATTTTAACTAGGAGGACTGAGTTCAAAACGCTAGATGCTAACGGCAGTTTCGTTAGCTCTTGACTCGCCATGGTACACCCAACTAGCAAGATGCTTATTGAAGGTGCCAACCCCGTGTGATGGCCAACGCACGTGGAATGGAGGGATGATTATTTATGAGCATCATACTCACACTTGTTTTCATAGGCTTCAAGCCTGCGCTTGTTTTGTGGCCTTTGGCCACACTTGATTAGTTACTTGCTCTCGTGGACTGTGTGTCCACACTTATTAGTCGTTTTGATGAAGCCCTCCTAAACTTTCCAATTTAAACTTATTATTTTTTGGAATTTTTTTTACTTTAAAAGTGTGTTTATTGTAAGTTTTTATATTTTGTGAGCAATAAAATTTTTAATATACACTTATGGGATTCTATCTGCTTGTCTGAATTCAAAATTACATTATTCTGGAAATCATCATTTATTTACAATTTTGAATAATTTGTTATTTCATTAAGCTATTGAAGTTAAATTTGTATTTATTATCTTATATATATATATATATATATTCTTTATTAAAATTTGGATTTGGACACTACTCACTAGAAAATTTTTTGGCCTCAAATATTGTAGCTGACCCTGCTCCTCCAACTAGCTAGTGAGGGCTCTTCTGTTTTTTTTTTTGGATAAAGGAAGTACATGGTGATGACTCTTTTTTGGTAAAATCTTATATTGTATTTTGTAAATTATAAATTAGTGCTCCACATACACCATAGTTAGATTCTAGTTTTATTTTGTTATTGTGAAAATTTCTGGAATAGAGCTAGTCTCCTTGCTAGTCTGATTGGCAGGTTTTGTAGTTGTTTTGAAAATATTGAAAGGTTTAAATTATAGGGGATACTCTGCTGAAATTTTTACAAAAAACTTTAAGAACTTTACTATTAGATATAACTTGCACATATATCATTAATTTAGCTTAATTCTGAGATAATCAAGGCTTATGGAATGTGAATCTACATCATGTTCCATGTGGATTATACCCTTAATATTGGGGTGTGACATTTATAATTTGAAATCCTTTTTAAATTTCCATTATTTCAAATCCTAACTCAATCTCTTTTGAAATTTGACCCAAATCACGAAGGCTTGGTCAGCTTGTCAAAGGTAATTAGACCGAATAGTCAAAGTTGATTGAAACAAGCTGCCACCATTGTCCAAGACCGGATGGCCGACTTCCACAAGGATCGAATTGACAGAGACGATCAGGATAGGAAGCCTAACTTCCACCAAGATCAAATTGACAATGATGACAGGGATCGAATAGCTCACTTCCACCAGGATCAAACCAATAATGACAATGGGGATCGGATGGCCAACTTCCATCGAGACCGGACTGATGACAATGATAGAGATGAAACAACTGACTTTTATTAGGATCAGACTTACGGCTATGGCCAGGATGGGACTAGATCGATGGCGACGGTGATGATGGGGGTCGAACGACCAAGCTCCATTGGGATCGAACTAATGGTGACAATTGAGACCGAACTAGACCAACGTCTGTGACAAGGACCTGATAGCTGACTTCCACCGGGATAGGACTAACAATGATGATTGGGACAAGATTGGACTAATGGTGATGATGACAATGGGGATTGAATAGCTAACTTCCATCGGGATCGGATCGATGATGGCTATTGGGATGGGAACAAACCAACGATGATGGTGACGATAGGGATCGAATGGTCGAGTTCCAATGGGGCCAAACTAACGGCAACAATCGAGATTGAACAACCGACTTTCATTGAGACCAGAGCAATATTGATGATCATGACAAAAATGAAATAAGGCGACGATAATGATTGGGACAAAAATGAATTGAGGAGACATGATGAAGGGGACCAGATGGCTGACTTTCATCAGGATAGGATTGATAGTGATAATTGAGATTGGAGCAAACCAACCTCAACGACGAGGATGTGGGCAGGACAGCCAACTTCTACTAAGACCGGACAAACGATGACGATTAGGAAGGGATAAGATTGATAGCAACAGTGATGATGGGGAACAGACTATTGAATTCCACCAGGATCGAACAAGATGAATGACTTCCACAAGGACTGACAATAATGGTGATAGTGAAGATAGGAACGGATGGCTGTTCGATCTTAGTCATCATTGTTGATCCTATCCTAGTAGAAGTTGGCCATCCAATCCCCATCGTCATTGTCAATTCAGTCCCAGTGGAAATTGGTCGTTTGGGCACCTCCGTCACTTCATTTGATCTCGAAGGATGTTGACCTTCGATCCCCATTGTCGCGTTGGTCTGGTCCCAATGGAAGTCAATTGTTCGATCCCTGTCGTCCCGTCAATTCTATCCTGTGGAAGTCGACCGTCCGATCTCGATCGTTGCTAGTGCTATAGTCACAATTAGCTTTGACGGTCTGATCCCAAGGGAAGTTAATCATTCAGTCCCGATTGTCATCGTCAGCCCTGTTTAGGTTGAAGTTAGCCATCCAATCCTCATTGTCGCAGTCATCATTGGTTCGATCTCGATGGAAGTCAGCCATTCTATCCTTACAATTCTAATCGGCTTTGACTGTTTGATCCCAGTGGAAGTTGGCCATTTGGATAGTTGACTTTGACTAATCATTCATGTTTCTTTTAAATTCAAATATAGAATTTAAAATTTAAAATTTTACTTTAGATCCAAACAAAGAATTTTAATATTATAATTTAAAATTTTTTATATCATTTAAACAAATAATTTAGAATCTATGAATTTCAAATATGAGATTTTAAATTCAAATTTTCAACTTAAATCTACCCATCCGAATGCAGCATTACATCTTTTTAGTTGTACCTATTGTGACATATAATATTTAATTTATTCAAAAATTCTTTAATGGAATATAATAAATTAAGGTATAATTGGTAACATAAATATTTAAAAAAAACATATGCAATGCTCTATAAAATAGGGATATTATTTGTGAGTTGTGTGTTAGGTTGTACTTTTTTAAATTTTTTTTGAGTGTTCTTTTTTTTATTTTCACTACTGGTGTTTGTACTATATTTTTTTATATGAATAAAATGGACTTCTTTTTTGTCAAAATTTTTTTTGGATCAAGTGGTGCTCTAGAAAATGTCATATATTATGATCTAGAGAGCAGAGTATTTTTTTAATTGAAGCATCCTATTAAATAAAAGTAAATATAAAAAGACTGCAATTTTAAAGATGACTAACTAATTCACTGATACTCCCCTGTTTTCAAATATAGAAAAAATAACTAATTCACAATTTTAAAAAATTGGTTAAGTATGATAATTATCGACAAAAAAAAGTTAAGTATAATAATTACATCTAAAATCTAAAAAGAAAAATTGAACTGAATTATTCTTGCAGTTAATGGAACAAATGTGTATAGTGAAAATAAATATTGACTTCATGAAAAATAATTTGAAAAAAATATAATAAGTATTTCTTGAAATTTGTAGTTTTATTTATAAATAAAAATTAAAAAATACATGATAAGTTATCTTATATTAAAAAATGAAGGGAATTGTATATATAATTATGTTAAAAGTGACTTGTATTATTGAAGTGAGAAAGAATCAAAAATTGAGAGTCGTGCCTTTTGGTTCCAAGCAATTAAGTCGTCGGAATCTTATACTCACTATAAGAAATAGACATTGCTTTTGTTTCTTTGTTTTGGCCAGTTCAGCGACGGATGATAGGTGAAGAAATTTCGACACTCAAAACAATCGACCACGCTAATTAAACGCGTCCAGTATCTCCTTCTCACCCATTCTCTCTTCTTAATGTTCATTGTCTCGCTCTCGTCTGTTAGTTGTAACTTGTAACTGGTGTCGTTCGTTTGAAAATATAAAATATTTTTAATTAAATTTTATTCTCAAACAAAATAATTATTTTTCTTTAAATTAATATTATTTTTTTACATTTATTCCTATTTAATAGGGTGTTTCACTCTAAAATAAATATAAAATAATTTATTTTTAATAATATTTTAAGAAAACATAATAATTATGCCTTAAAATATTAAACATATCTTGTATGTTTTAACTTTTTTTTTTTGTGAATTAAAAGGGCACTTCATTCAACCGAATGTAAACCAACGACAGAAAGCTAAGAGAAACAGCTCATCCGGAGAGAAGAAATCTAACCCACAAAAAAGAAAACAAAATATAAGTCAAGGGAATAAAAGTATTAGAAAGACTGGCACAACTTAACAAGATAGTCAACCTGCCTTTTATCTTCCTGCGTTTTTTAACATCTAATTCTTAGAAAATGCTTCACGAGTCCTGCCTATTGCTTCCATTTCATGATGTGTTCACCATTCACTCTTCATTCTCCTTCTGAAGCAGCTCAAGAACGAACACACAACTCTTCGACGGCCATGTATTCACCCCCTCCACCTACAGAGACGCCGCCTCCCCTGACTTCACCGTTGCCGGAGTCCATTTCGTCTTCGGCTGAACCTCCATACTCCTCCCCACCTTCCCCTTCCCTGACTTCAGCGGCGCTGTTTGACCCGCTGTCTCCAGAGTCACCTCCCCCTCCCCCGACTTCGGTTGCACCTTCATACTCCTACGCACCTCCCCCTCCCCCGACTTCGCCGGAGCCCATTCCCCCTTCGTTTATACCTTCATACTCCTACCCACCTCCCCCTCCCCCGACTTCGCCGGAGCCCATTCCCCCTTCGGTTGTACCTTCATACTCCTACCCACCTCCCCCTCCCCCGACTTCGCCGGAGCCCATTCCCCCTTCGGTTGTACCTTCATACTCCTACCCACCTCCCCCTCCCCCGACTTCGCCGGAGCCCATTCCCCCTTCGGTTGTACCTTCATACTCCTACCCACCTCCCCCTCCCCCGACTTCGCCGGAGCCCATTCCCCCGTCGGTTGCACCTTCATACTCCTACCCACCTCCCCCTCCCCCGACTTCGCCGGAGCCCATTTCCCCTTCGGTTGCACCTTCATACTCCTACCCACCTCCCCCTCCCCCGACTTCGCCGGAGCCCATTTCCCCTTCGGTTGTACCTCTTCTTCCCCCTCCAGAGTCGTCGCCTACCCTGACTCCACCGATGCTGGCAAGACCGTCTGTATCGTCATCAGGTACACCTTGTTCAGTTTTTATGAAATATTATTTATCATATCGTTTGTAGCGCCGAAGCTTAGCGTAGATATCAAAGGCGTTAAGGTCCATCACAGTTCTCCCTCTCCCTCTTCTCAATCCCACTCCCACATAGATCCAGATTTGGTGAGTGTCGTTCCAAATTCTGTCCCTCCGTTTGAATTTCACAAATAATTAATTAATATGAATGATTTTAATTATCATTAATTATTTTAAAACGTAATTTGTTTTGGATATTATTTTTTTAAAATTGATTTAATAGAATTAAAGATGTTTAGATGATTTAATCAGAATCAATTGTAACTGTACAAATTATTATAAAAAATATTACTTTTTAAAATTAAATTATTGATAAAGTTGTATATAATATTATTAAATTTATTAAACTTTAATTAAGAAGTAAAATATATTATTTACCTTATACATCTAATTAATTATAGAAAATTAAATTATATTAATATTAATAATTTAAGTTATGTAAATAAATAACTCAATATATCTATGCTCAAATAACTTTAATAAAAGAGAAAGATATAATTCTAAATACTACACATCAATTTTATCTTGTAAAAAAGATATTATTATCAATGTTTGAAAGTTGAAAAATTCTACATAAATAAATTAAACCAACAAATACACCTAAAGGCGGACATAAAAAATTCATTCGAGTTGTCAAAGATGTTGACAATTTATGTAGCTTTACTAGAGATATCACACATACTCTACTTCAAAAAGAACATTATACTTTATATTTACTATCTTGTAATGAAGATGTATATCGACAACTTGTGTTCCAATTTGAATGAAAAATTAAGAAAATTGATTATAGTCCAACATTTCACATGTAAGGTAGAATAATAATCATTTTCAAATGGACCAAATATGCAATAATTTTTAATTCTTTTTTTCAATTCAATGCCCTTTAAAACTCATCACCTACTTAAGTCCATAGGCAAGCAAGTAGAAGATGGATGGCATTTGTTGATTTGCAAGATTGAACATGGCACTTTAAATTTGATAATTGGTTTAATGGAGATCATTATTTCCAATCAAATATATAGTTCTTGTAGCTTGATTTCTCAGGATTTGGCCCAAAAAAAAAAAAGATTTTGTAGGGTTGGGAATAATTCATCAAGAATTCAGGCTACTGGATAATTTATAGTTCTTATAACTCTAAAATCACTAATTAGGTGAGTGACATCTGGCATCCTGCTCGATTTTAGGTGAATGTCTCCCTTAAAGTTATAAAGAAGCAAACTAAAAACAGAGCCAATAAAAACTATCATCCCATAGGTAACTGAATGGGTGGGAGATCAAAAAGATAACAATCAATAGAAAGACTATAAGCCAATTTAGAAAGATAGTCAATCATTACATTATCTTCTTTATACACAAAATTAAAATTAACAACCCAATATCCATACAAGACTCGTCTAGTAGATCATGATTATTCCCTATGGTTATCGATAGAGCACACACACAATTATATATATAAGGCCTTCACAGTCCTAAAATTTTTTGCCAACGTAATTCCAACCCTCTGAAAAAACCATAAACTTTTTGCCAACCATAAAACAGAACAATCAGAGAACCAAAGGCAAAAACCAGAACAAGAACGTACACTTAACCAAAAAAAAAAAAAAAACAGAACATCTCCCTATGATTAATGTTAACTTTGACCTTAACTAATTTTGTTTCATCAAAAACGTTCACTTGGCACTCCACGTGACTCACTATATTAATCAGAGAACCGAACGAAAAAACCAGAACAAGATTATAAACCCAAAAAAATCAGGGTTTTGAAGAACAATCACCATAACAAGATTAACATCCCGTGGGTAAAATCCAAAACACACAAACAAAACCTATAACAGGATTAACATTCAGTCTGGAATTAAACAATCAAATGATGGAAAACCGAATGTGGAGGATATCTGCTAACCAACAAATAAAACAATCTCAAACAAAAATATATTCCTAATCTTAGCACACTATGGTCCACAAAGCTTGGAATCAGGGAATGTGGAGGGAAACCTAAAATGATAGAAAACTGAAAAAGGAGCACACCGACCTTCTTCTTCCACGGACCAGATCGACGGTGGACGAAGACCAGCAGATCGGGGATGAGGCAACTAGATCGAGGCAACATGGACCTTATTCGACCATGGCTAAAGCTTGCTACCACTGGTCGGAGCTCAGAGATGGCGAACAGCGACCAAGTTGACGGACGGAGGACGACAGCTTAGGAGAAGAAGGAGCACGGCACAAGAAGGAGATCGGAGCTCGGAGACTGTTGCGCTGTCCGTAGATCAAAGACTGCGAACGACGACCACGTGGGGGGTGGGCCGACGACGGCGGAGACACAGCACAAGAAGGAGATCGGAGCTCGGAGACTGTTGCGCTGTCCGTAGATCAAAGACTGCGAACGACGACCACGTGGGGGGTGGGCCGACGACGGCGGAGACACAGCACAAGAAGGAGATCGGAGAGAGTGAGACACGGGAGAAGAGCTCGAGGCTCCGGAAGAGAATAGGAACAGAGAACGCAAAAATATCACGTGTAATGGAATGAAATGAGGGTAATCTTGGCAGGTGAAAATCCGACAAATAATTAATAGTACATTGTAACGGTAAAATTGATGAGCAAAAAGTATCCAGGAGGAGCTTAATAAAAAACACGATTCCAGCCCAAATAATCAATTAAGTACAAACAAAGCTGTTTAGATAATTTTCTCTAAAATCGATTATTTTGCTTTAAAAATCGATTGTTCCTTCAATCCAAACACCCTATCGCTTATTGAGTCATTGAGTGTATTCAATTAAGATTTCTCCTAGCTAAATTGCTACCTATAGAAGGAGAACTTCTAAGTTCACATGCATCAACTTTAATTAAGTATATTATATTTTAATCCAAAGATTTATATGATTGTAAATAAATAATTAAAATGCATCTTTATATAACCGTTCTTTACTGTTTTATTTATTTCTAATCAAATATGAATTATCAAACGTTAATGAAATTAAATCCTACAGCTGCAATGTGAACTCTCGTTAAGTGAGAATATTTGAAATACTCGTAGAATTCAAATTGAGATCTTACGTCCCCCTTCTCTTCATTTTCTAGAAACCTTGTGGCTTTAGTCTCCATGTTAATTTTTTTAAGTTAAAGTATATTTTTAGTTTTCTAACTTTATATAAAGTTTTAATTTAGTCCTTTAATTTTATAAAGTATCTTTTTAGTCCTTTAATCCTAACATTGTTAGTTTCAAATGATTATTTTTTTGTGTCAATCATTGTTATCTTGAAAAAATTAAACTTAATACGTTAATATTTGAAAATATTTTGTCAATATTTAAAAGTTTAGTATAAAAACTTGTTGGACTAAAACTAACAATATTAGGGTTAAAAGACTAAAAAAATAATTTATAAACTTAAGGGACTAAAGTAAAATATTGTGTAAAGTTGAATAATTAAATTTATACTTTAATTTTTTTTAATATAATAACTGAGGGTGAGGTTTTGTTCATAATTATATGAAAAAAGTCACAAGCTACTTAGTTGTATTCACATTTTAATGATATTTGCTTGATCTATGTTATAATTTTTAGCTATGGGAGCCTTTACACACAGACACATACTTATGTAGACATAATTAAGAGTCCCCATACCTTTCCCATGGTCGTCTGTCGGGCCACCTTCGCCGTCGCAGCGGTCTCCACCACCGGCAGGGATAATTGCGGGGACAGTGATTGGTTCATTGGTAATATTGGGGTTATTATGTGTGGGTTTGTTTATATGGATAAAGAGGAGAAGGATCAAACTCTCTGGATTGGGCGACCCCTCTCCACAACCACACCAACCTAAAGGTAATATAAACCTTTCTGCTTCGCTTTCTTTCTTCAAGCATTTTGCATTTTCAACTTTCAAGGTTTTGTGAGGTTAAGCCTGCATGAGAAAATATATGTTTTCATTTCAAACATAAGATATTTTTTTTAGAAAATCATAAGTTTTAATATAATATATGCAAAGGATTTTGCAGAATTCTTGCCCAACTAATGTCTTTAATTTCTACCTAAACCTCCTAGGAGTTTTTTTTTTTTTGTGAGTGTTTAAAAAAGATAAAAATGCTTTACATTTGAAATATAATAGATAAAAAAAATAAACACAATCGACAAACTGTCCCCAATCCAACTCAACATATCATCAGTCAGGTAGGCTTCCCTAGTTTTCGGGAAGGCCTCATCTCACACATACTTGAAACAATTATATTGTTGATGCCACCTTGTCTGTCAGATGAAGAGGTTGCACTTTCAGTTGCACCACCATCTCCTTCCATTGGCTTGAGATTGGGACCAAAAACATTTACATACGAAGAATTAGCGTTGGCAACAAATGGATTCTCAGACTCAAATTTTCTGGGCGAAGGTGGTTATGGCATTGTCCATAAAGGAGTCCTACCTGATAAAACTAGTGTTGCCGTTAAGCAGCTCAAATCTGGAATCCAACAAGCAGAGCGAGAGTTCCAGACTGAAGTCCAGATCATCAACCAAGTCCATCACAGACATCTTGTTTCCCTTGTTGGCTACTGCATCGACCGAGCACAGAGCAAGATGATGCTTGTTTACGAGCTTGTCCCAAATAAAACCCTAGCGTTCCACCTCCATGGTAAGATTTAAAGCCTCTCTTTACTTTAACCTTGAATCATGTTTAGCTTTTTCTCATCATCTTTTTAGAACATCTTTTTAAAAGGACATGAGCGCGCGCGAGCGCGCGTTTGGAGTGCCAAGAAGTCCAGTTTTGTGTGTAGACTTCAATAAAATAAGTAGCAGTTTGAGTCATGAGGGGTGAGGACTAGTACAAATAGATTTGTGTGTTAGTGTGTGATGGTAAAATGTTGAAAAATAATACTTCCTCCGTAGCAAGTGTCCCTAACCACATACTTCAAGGATTAAAATGATCTTTAATTGACTATGCATTCAATGTGGATGCCATGTGTACATTTTTTGTTAAAAAAGGGTTAATGATGTATGGACTTTCAAACGTTTAGGGGAAAAAATGACCGAAAATTGAGTTCATGACATCCGTAGACCCTAAGCGAATACTTGGAAGGCCAAAATAACCTTTAACCCTAATTTATAAGATACTTTTAGGTAAAATCATGCATATCAATAAAATTTATTAAATATAATTTACAATCTTATTTTTTCAAAATATAAACATATAAATTTTAAAAAATGCCCTTCATTTAATATAATCTTATTTGCAAAACATTAAATAGAGAGAGAGAGAGAGAGAGAGAATATAATAAGGAAGGAAGGGTAATATTTGAATAAGTATAATTAGTGAAATCTTATTTTTATTGATGTGTTTTATATTTTATGACACTAGATCATCTCAAAAAATATCTTATAAATTGAGATGAAAGGAGTAAAATTTGATCTACAATGAAGAATTAATCTTATGAGTATTTTTATTATCTTCCCTCTTCCTAATATCTTTTTTGGTAAAGTGACATATAGTTGAGTATAACGATCAGGTGTTCTCCAAAATATATCATGTCCTTATTCCAACTTAAACATAATACGCACGAACGCTTCTAAGTTTAGAATCTCACAATAATGATTATGATTCTGTTTTTAAATGAGGACTAAGGAGATAGGGTTTATAGAAAAAAACAAATCAACGTAAAACCCTATTTATATAGTCAAAATAAAAAGATCCCTGTTCCAATATCAAAGAAGTCTTGAGAAGAAATAGTGGGATAGGTTCAGTGCAACCTAATGATGATTATTTATTCTAATTAAAGACAAGATTTACAATTGGATTTTACCAGATACATAGAGCAGTCCAGCAGGCTGCATTCTAAGAATGTCACATTCGCATAGAGTATCTTCGCGGGACACAATTTTTGTTTAGCACTGCTATATTATCGTTAATTGTTTGCTTTAGTAAAATTGTTCTTTAGAATTAATACAACGTATTGGTTTCCTATGCGCTTTGATCTACACATGCATGAATATATATATCATCGTTCAGAAAAAGGCTTAGCAACTTTAGACTGGAAAAGAAGGATGAAGATTGCCATTGGCGCTGCGAAAGGATTGGCATACCTTCATGAAAAATGTGAGTTTATAATTAACTTGATATAACTATTAATCCTCTATATTTACTTCACTTTATTGGTCTTGAAAATTTTACTTATTTCAGTCCAATACTGTTCTAGGTCAACCCAAAATCATACACCGTGACATCAAAGCAGCCAACATTCTTATTGGTGATAATTTTGAGCCAAAGGTACATATGATATGACCACACGTAACCTCCTGTGAAGTATAGGAATCAACAAGTAAGTTGATTATTAAAAGCTATCAGAGAGGAGAGAAATAAACTAGAAAATGATTGAAAAATATCATATCAATTACTATTGTGATGAGTATAATATATACAAGGAGGAAGGGATGACCTAATAAAAATTATTTACAACAATATCTTATCAAATTATATCTCTCAAACAAGGGCAAATAATAAATAGCAATATATATTTAGAACATTCTAGATAACATCCCCCCTTAAACTCAAGATAGCTTAACAAAGTGCAACTTGAGTTTATCTACTAGAAACTGAAAGCGGCCTGGATGAAAAGACTTTGTAAACAAGTCTACCGACTGATACTTGATTTAAATTGAAACAAGTCAAATGGTGCCTCGAACAACATGTTGCTGAGTAAAGTGACAGTCAATCTCAATGTATTTGATTCACTCATGAAACACATCGTTGTTAGCAATCTTGATTACAGCCTGACTATCACAATAAATGTCTGTGAAGAAATTCTGAGATGCTCTCAACTCATCAAGTAACCAAAGAAGCCAAAGTACCTCAGTGGTAATGTTTGCTAGTGTATGATATTCCAATTCAGCACTGGAGCGAGAGATTAATGTTTGCTTCTTACTTCTCTAAGAGATAAGGGAATGACTAAGGAAGATACAAAAACATATCGTAGACCATCGATCATCACGATCACCACCCCAATCGGCATTAGAGTAAGCTTGTAGCGTAAGAAAGGAGCTAGTAAAGAAGTGAAGCCCATGATACAAAGTGCCTCTGATATACCGGATGATCTGAAAAACTGTTGCATAATGAGTTATGCAAGGCTTAAACATAAGCTAGCTGATAATGTGAACTGCACAAACATTGTCAAGATGGGTGACAGCAAGATAGATGAGACCCTTAACCAGTTGGTGGTAATAGGTAGGTTTATCCAACAAGGTGCCATTAATGGACGTATAGTGAACATTCAATTCAATAGGAGTAATTTCAACCTCTTCATAAAAAAGGTGAGCTCGAGATATCAAATTTGTGGTGTACTTGACTTGAGAGAGAGATATACCATCACTCCTATGGTAGACCTTAAGCCTAAGAAAATAGTTCAATCTACCAAAATCCTTCATTTTAAATTATTGGCCCAAGTATGTCTTGAGCTCCTGAAATCCCATATCATCATTACATGTGATAATCATGTCATCAACATACAACAACAATAGAGCAATACCATGAGCAGTGGAGCGAACAAAAAGAGCCAAGTCATGAGAACTACAAGAAAAATCTAGTTGACTGATAGTGTTACTAAACTTAGCAAACCATGCACATGGAGCCTGCTTGAGCCCATATAGAGCTTGACAAAAACAACAGACCTTGTCTTTTAGATGTTGATACTTAGGTAGGTTTCATATACACTTCTTCTAGATCTCCATTTAGAAAGGCATTTTTAACATCTATCTGGTGAAGAGGCCAGTTCTTAACAGCAACAATGGCTAAAAGGCTGCGAACAAAGGTCATACAGGAAACAAGTGCAAAATTTTTCTCATAATCAACACCATACTCCTGAGTGAATCCTTAGGCCACCAAGCGAGCCTTGCGTTGCTTCAAAGAGCCATTAGAATTATTCTTGTTCTTGTAGACCCATCAAGACCCAACCAAAGTTTTACCAAGAGGAAGATCAATAAGATCTCAAGTATGTATTTTCTCTATGACCCGTAATTCATCATTCATAGCTTGTTGCCAAAAGGGATCATGAAAGGCCTCCTTAAAGGATTTGGGTTCCTAAAATTAGAGAATGGTGGAAAAATAATGGTAATCATTGAGGTAAGAAGGAGGATTTCTTACACGACTGGGTCGAATGTCTATGGACGATACGAGCTCAATAGGAGTGACTTGTGCTGGAAGAGCAATAGGTATGACAGTAGGCACATATGGAGCGAGCGCAACATCGATTGTGGAAACAAGCTCAGTAGAAGAATCTGTACTTGAGTCACTGGAAAAAAGATCAGTAGAAATATCTATAAAAATAGGAGATGAAGAAGATGATAATGATGAGAGATCAATTATAGACAAAAACTTAATATTTTTCTAAAAGACAACATTCTAAGAAATACAAATATAGTGAGAGAGAATCCCAACAATGATAATCCTTATGCTCAGAATCATAACCAAGAAAACAATAAACACAAGAATAAGCTTGAAGCTTTTTGTCTCATGAGATAGAAGAAGAATAAAACAAGCACAAGCAAAGACTTTCAAAAGATTATAATCGGGAGGATAACTATGGAGGCACTCAAAAGGAGAAATGTTATCGGTGTCAGGAGACGGGAGTCAATTGATGCAAAAGATAGAGGTTAAGGTTGCTTCACCCCAAAACCATTTAGGACAAGAAGAGAAAATGAGCAATGCTATAACAAAATCAAGAATATGATGGTATTTATGCTCAGTATGACTATTCTGTTGAGAAGTATAAGGACACAAAAATTGAGAAATAGTACCTTGAGAATCAAGAAACGTGAGTAATCTAGAGTCACAATATTCCAAGGCATTATTAGGATGAAAAATTTTAATAACTTTAAAATACTAAGTGTGAATCATAGTAGCAAATTTGATATAAAGTTCAAGTAACTCATATCAATGTTTCATCATATAAATCTAAGTAAAACGAGAAAACTCATCAACAAAAATCACAAAATATCGAGATCCTCCGATAAAGGAAGTAGGTGCAAACCCCAAACATTAAAATGAATCAAATCAAAAAGAGAAACAGCAACAGAATGATTTTTATGAAAAAGATAAAGCAGGTTGTTTGGCAATCTGATAAGAAACGCATTGCAAAGAATGACTATGAACATGACCTAAAAGACTACTAGAAATTAAAGGACACAATTTATTCAAAGAAGGGTGAGTAAGATGACGATGCCATAAGTCAAGAGAAGAATTAAAAGAAGAGGATGTGGAGGTAGCCTACAATGTGGAAACAGTAATCTCAAGTTAGTCCATTGAGGTAAGCTCGAACATACGACCAACTTTGCGCCCAATCCTGACAACCTATCCTATTTGAGAATCCATGCATCACAATACAACCATGTCTATTAAATAACACGTCATAACTCATATCAACAAATTGTCCAACAGAAAGAAGGTTAAACTTAATGGCAAGAACAAAATATGTATCATGAATGAATAGGGAAGGCAATGTGACAATACCAATATAACTAACAAGCATTTGAGAATTATCAGCAGTGTGTATAGGATAGGCAATAGAATTAGGTGTCATAGAGGAGAAGAAATTTTTCTAACCTGTCATATGATTGCAACAAGCAGAGTCAAAATACTAAGTGGATTTATCAATGAGAGTAGATAAGGCAGCAGATGGGCTAGAGGAACTGAAGATGAATGTGCGCAACAAAGTTTTCAATTCAATTAGAGAGGATCCCAAAGTAGGCTAAGCAAGATCACATTTTTTCAACCAAAGGCGGAAATTGCAACCATTCAAGGTAACTAATATAGATTGAGCAATAAATGAATTTTCCATTTTTTAAGGAAAAAAAGGCTTACAAAAAAGAATGAAGGATTGAAAACATCCAAACCAGAGACTGTAGTATGAATGGCATGGCACTCATACTAGGAAACTAATCAATGATCTGACTATTGAAAATTGCCTAATGCGTTGGATGTTCTATACTGCTAACGAATTTGCAAATGTCAATTTACCAAAATTGCCTTGTGGATATGCGAAAATAAATTTAAGGTGGATCTAAACTCGTGATGAAGGATGGCAACACTATGAAGGAAAGGATAATACTCTTCAAAAACTGACTTATCATGGAAAAAAAATATTATAAAGCTCTAATACCATGAAAGCTATCAGAGACGAGAAAGATAAGCTAGAGAAGGATTGAAAAATGCTATATCAATTACTATTATAATGAGTATAATATATACAAGGGGGAAAAGATAACCTCATAAAAACTATTTACAACAATATCTTATCAAATAATATCTCTCAAATAATGGCAAATAATAAATAGTAATATATATTTAGAATATTCTAGATAACAATTATAATGCCTTTACATAATTACATTAATAATACTACTGAAAAAAAGTTTTACTCTCAGATCGTTAACTTGTTTCCATAATTTCGTACATAATTATATTCTAAAAGTAATTCGAACTCTTATTTATTCTTTTATTATGAAAACGAATTTTGATGTTGATCCCATGAGGAGAAAACTGAAGTTTTTTGGAAGTCGAACTCTCCCTTTCTTATGTAAAATTGTATCTTTAACAAGACATCAACGAGTTAAATCATTTCACTTTCTATTTATAAAAAATGTTGATCTCCTGAACTAATTAAGAATCCATTCAAATACTAAATATAATAAATATGTAAAGCTAATTGACTCCGTTAATTGTCCCATTATGTAGCACTTGAATATCAATACATGCAATATATATCTAACAAAATAATATGTGCTCCCTGTCTATTAATCAGGTTGCAGACTTTGGACTCGCCAGATTATGTTCATTAGAGTCCCAAGTCTTGATGAGTAGAATAATGGGAACTTTCGGGTCAGTCTTAATTAATGAGTCTTTTTTTATTAATATTTTCCTTTCAATCTCACTATTGTGTCCGTGGAATCTTGCCATTAATTATGTTGGATATGCATATATAGTAGCTTTCTTTGTATCCCCCTCCCCTTGATTAGCTTTTTTTTTTTTTCAATCTTCACGAAGTTCTGTATTTCACTGAATGAATACAGATACTTAGCTCCAGAATATGCAGCTAGCGGGAAACTTACTGAGAAGTCAGATGTCTTCTCCTTTGGTGTTGTGCTTTTGGAGTTGATCACAGGACGAAAACCTGTCGGTAATGCTGAGCATTTTCCCAATGGCAGTATGGTTGACTGGGTCTGTACTGTACTTCAATATATAATTCTCTTTTATATATATATATATATATATATCAGTGACGGACTCAAAAAAAAAATCAATGAGGGCAAAATTTACATTAAAAAAATATTAATATTTTTTAAATATAATATTATTAATGTTTATTAAATTAAACTAAAGATAACATTTATAATAATAGAAAAATAATAATGTCTTTATAAAACCAAAAATTGTATAAATATTAGAAAATAATACTGTTTTAATTTTATTATTATTAAATAAAATTTATCTACTTTCTTTTGTATAGTGTAAAAAAAATTTTAGATAATTTTTTTATCCATACAATTAGAGAAAGTTATTTTTTAATTATTATTTCCTCCATTCTAAAATTATTTTTATTTGGGGAGAAGCCTTAGAAAAGAGGAAAAAACAATGAGAATCTTGAACAACTGAGAATTGATCTGTACATAAGTCAATCGATAAACTTGATTATGTATGAATGAATTTTCAATTGTTCAAGGCTCTAATTGTTTTTTTCTCTCTTTTAGAGACTCTCACTAGTATTCTCCTATTTATTTAAGTTTATTATATATAGATAAGTTTCTAAATCAGATAAAATTTAACGAGATGAGTGAAAAATTTTAAGGAGGCATGATTTTCTTAAGGTGGGGGAAATTGAAAATTTTTCAAGGTATAATTTTTAATTTTTTTGTATAATTTTTAATTTTTCCCCTTAACTAGTGGGGGCAAATGCTTCTTCCTCTATGATGCATGTAAATCAAAATCAATGGGAAGATCTTACTCTTCTACATCAGCTATATATTTCAAAGTTTAAAAGATAAATAATAGTGTGTGAGCCTGATCAGATAACTGTATGTGGTGCGCGCACTGATACATGTTGCAAATCACAGGCAGCACCTTTACTCTCCGAAGCTGTGGAAAACAGAAACTTTGAAGTTATTGCTGATCCAAGGTTGCAGAATCATTACGACGTTGAAGAGATGCTTCACATGGTTTCTTGTGCTGCAAACTGCGTGCGCCATTCAGCCACACGTCGTCCTCGAATGAGCCAGGTTCGTGCGTAAAATAAGGTGTATATGATCTGTATGCGCGCGCTAGCTTAATTTTAAACTAGCTAGCTCTCTATTTATTTAGTTGCTATACCTATAGGCTATTCATCACCAACATGTGGGTTAGAAATCAGCTAGAATGCGTCATAACTATTGGGATTCCGTACTTCCAAGATGGAACAATTGACCATTTGAGGATTGATTTGATTTGATAAAGCAGGTGGTTCAAGCTTTAGCGGGAGTGATTTTTCTGGATGATTATGATCTGACTGTGGATAGCACACCTAGGCGTCTACTCAGCGAAGACCTGAAGAAGCTGAGGAAGATGGCACTCGGATCATATAGCACCACTGAATCTGATCACTATCAGTCCACTTCCAGTAGTTCTGGCTCCAAACTATATTCAAGTAATGAACATCAAACTTGAATGTGAAGGCTAATAATATATATGTACACATGATGTTCTCGTTAGACATATTAAAGTCATATTCCCTCCACTCCTATTTATAGCTTTTTTTATTTAAAAACTTGTTTTGTCCCTAAATATAAAGGTATTCCCTTTATCTTTATTTATAATGTTTTTTTTATAAATTTATTTTGTCAAAAGGGATCCGAAGAGATATTATTGATATGTTTTACCTACCATCATAATATTAATTGTAATATTATTTGGGCAAAATTATAAGATTCAATTAAAAATACTTTATATATATAAGGATGAATGGAGTATAAGCAAGGATATATAACTTTGGTGCATCGAATATTTTGCAGGTCCAATAACGTGCAAATTGTTGGGTATATGTTTATACGTATCTCATAAGAAAATTCTGGCAAATGTGTATGTGTTTATTTGATTAATTATATTTTTAATAAATTAGTTATTTTAATCTCAAAGACATTATGGTTTTAATCATATTAACTTTCATATCATCATTATACTAAAATGTGTGTGCGTTTGTTTGTAGTGGTCGTTCTCTTCAACACATAATTACTTTGAGTCATTAATTCTCCTCCTTTCTCGACTTTTCGTTTTTGTCGGGTTTACATTATTTGGTTGTTTTTGTTATGTTATTTCTTGATCAATTCAAAGAATAGTTTGTCTGATATTGAAGGATTGCCACATTAAAATAATTTTAAGGAAAATTATAAATAAATTCCAATTAAGTAACTTATTTACAAGTAAATAACGAAAATTTGAAAAGATTTTGACTTGCAGATAGGATAGATATATTTACTTGCAAATCGGCAAAGTTGAGTCAGAAATATTAAAGCATCAATATGTTAAAAAATTGACTTAAAGATTAAAATGTTTAAGTTGTAAACCTGACATGTTTACTTGTGAATCGATGAAATTTAACCAATAAATTTATGAAATTTCACATGCAAATATTAAAATACCTTATCCCACCACTACAAATGAGAGTTGCATGGTAGGAACGATCTAAATTATTTCAAAAGTGTGATTATCGCGGAACAATAAAACAGAATATTACTTCATTAAATTTCAAATGTGTGTGTGTAACATGAGAAATAGATCAATGCATTCTCTTATTCTATACTCAGTAACTAATAATATTGTGAAAAAAAAATGATCAAGCAAATATTGTCAACTTTTTGACTATTTAAATGATATTTTTGAATGAGATGCTGCGATTCTAATTCTAGTTACGTACGTGGAAATGTTTGTCAATGTTGTTGTTACTTAAAGATCCTCAACATGATGATCTTGAATATACAATTATATTGTAGCTAAAGATAGTTTTGAACGAAGAAATAAAAATAAATATGATTAATTAGTCATATTAATTTCAAGTAAAATATTGGGTTTAAGTGTTGTGAATGTAAAGAAAAATTATGGTTACAAAAACTTTCCACCCATATGAATTGGTCTGGCTTACTTCAATTAGTAGGAGCCCAATCTGTGGCCTTTGTAAGTCAGAATATTTAAAAAAAAAAACTGTGATTGGATTAAACAAAAAGAAATGAACCAAAATTATAACTTAATTTTTAAAGTAAATACAAATTGATAGAACATCTTTAAAATATATTTTTTTTCCCTACCAGCCTTTAAAAGATATATTACTTATTAATCCAATAAAAAATTCAAAATATTCAGTATAATATATAAAATAAATAAATTAACAAGATTAAATTTATAATAGTTTATTATCTATTTTCAAAGCATGTTATTTTTCATGAAAATGAATCACATTAAGAAATACATTTCAAGATATAAGACAAAAGAAATATAATAATATAACATGAAAAGTATACATAATTTTTTATTTAATAATTAAGTGAAAATTAAGTACTAAAACTCCTAATATTTATTATAAAGGACCACAAAAATTAAAATTAGGATGAAGAATAAAAATAATTTTAATTAATTATTATACCCTTATTATAAAATCATTTAGCATACAAAAATCAAACATTTTAACCAACTTAACACTTAAAAATTAAAATCTAGATAAAATGAAATTATGTTTGAAAAATAATAAATAAATTTTAAAATATTGAATTAATGACAATTGATAATAAAGTTCTTGATACATTTTTTAAAAAAAATAAATTAAAAATATTCATTCAAAAACTATAAATTTAAAAATTTTAATTTAAAATAAAATTTTAAATTTTTATCTATAATTATTTAAATTTATGTTTATAATTTATTTTTAAAAAGTTATTAAAAATTTAACTGTTATTAAATCAAACTTTTAAACCGAACTATCATTTTATCTAACTTTTACCCCCGGGCAGCAAAAGTAGAGAAGTGAAAAGCGTGATTAAACTCAAAACTGTGGGCATTTTTGGGAACGAGAGTCGTGCCAGGTCGTGGCATGGTTGGCATAAGATTGTTTGGTACAATCTTTTCTATTTAAATCCATCTACTCCATCTGTCCTTCAAAAGATTTCTTGAGGCACAAATCCCAATTTCTTTCTTCCAATTTCCGCTATCAATATTTCATTTTTGGGTAAAATTTCCACTTATCGTTTTGATCCATGGCGTCTCGCCGGCGAATGTTATTGAAGGTCATAATCCTCGGAGACAGCGGGTACGCCTTTTTTGTTTTTTTCAATTTTAATTTCCTTCTGAATTTGATTAACACCGACAAAGAAAAATGGTTATTACTATTATTTTGCTTTCCTGGGGTGTATAATTTTATTGAATTCTCCGATTTGTTGCTTGTTTTGTCAAGTTTGTGCTTATTGCTTGTTTTACGCAAACCTTAATCAAATTTGCTGGACTGCCCCTTCATATCGTTCTCGTTTCCATCTGAATCGTGAAAAGATAATAAGCAAATGCTTGAAGATCCTCCTGATAACATAATAAATTTGACATTTGAAACCAGTTTCTGTTTGGCTTATAAAATTTTGTTTGAGGAAATATCTTTTGGGATTTAGTGGGTATATTATTGCATGAAATGGATTCATTATATATCACGCCAGTGAGGTGCTGTATGCCCGTGTTTTGAAACTTATAACCTAGGTGGGATTCGATTGTTTGTTGAGTTAATCACCACGCTTTCTTTTCTGATTGGCATTTCTTTGACTTTTGCAGGGTTGGTAAAACATCATTGATGAATCAGTATGCCCGAAACCCTTTTTTTTAACTGTCGGAAGTATTTGATGAATATCCCTGTATTTGAATTGTATTAGGATTGTTATGATCATTAATGTTTTTGTATCTAGGTATGTGAACCGTAAGTTCAGTAATCAATATAAGGCTACCATTGGTGCTGATTTTCTCACCAAGGAAGTTCAATTTGAAGATAGGCTGTTCACATTGCAGGTGAAGGACATGAAAATGTTATTACCTTTTTGGATAACAATATGATCAATTTTCCAACTCAGTAGAATTTTTCTTCTGGAAGCTTGCACAGTCTTCCAGGATGAATGTGTCATTTCAGAAAAAAGTGTTGCTCTGCCCTTTTAAGTTTTTCTATTTCATTATCTATTTAAAGTCAGCTCATGATTGTATGTTGTATTATTTTTTGAAAGTTATCCTTTTATTCACTGAGTGTTTCTCAAGGAAAAAGTGTTTTCTCAATGAATGTCTCCCTCTATGTGTAGATATGGGATACTGCTGGTCAAGAGAGGTTTCAGAGTCTTGGTGTTGCTTTCTACCGTGGTGCAGACTGCTGTGTCCTTGTTTATGACGTAAATGTCATGAAATCTTTTGATAATCTCAACCACTGGCGTGAAGAATTTCTTATACAGGTGGCTGCTAATCTTTGGGCTCCAGGATTGTAAGAAACTTGGCATAATTAAATTACCAGCGATTGATTCTCACAAGCATGTGATTTTACAGGCTAGTCCATCTGACCCAGAAAACTTCCCATTCGTTGTCTTGGGAAACAAAATAGATGTTGATGGTGGTAATAGCCGAGTTGTAAGTTTCTTCTCCCTTCATGGCATGTTTGCTTCTGATAATCCATGAAACTAGCCATATAACTGAATTATCTGGAATGAATAGGCTTCCTGCTGGAGTTCAGAGAAGATTTAAACACTTTTTCTCTTCTGGTTTTGGTGTCTTACTGGTGTTTGATTTTACTTGACTGCAATGTCTTCAATATCTGTTGTTGCAGGTTTCTGAGAAGAAAGCAAAAGCATGGTGTGCTTCCAAGGGAAACATTCCATACTTTGAGACCTCTGCAAAAGAAGGATTTAATGTAGAGGCTGCTTTCCAGTGTATAGCCAAAAATGCACTCAAGAATGAACCTGAAGAAGAAGTGTGAGTAATTCCGAATTTTGATCTTTACTTTTGCATGTAATTATTTGTGACCTTGTGCATAATTTTACCATGGTTAAAAAATCAGACTGTGAACCAGTGAATTAGTCATGGTTTCAGGTTTTTTGACTCTACAAACTGACTTGTCAAAAGATTTTCTGTGGTAAACAACTAATAAAATCAGTCAAAAAACCAGTTTTAATCCTTTTCATCTAAATGCATTCAGTAATGACGGGTAATGTGTTTAATGGACTTCACCCAATTTAACATGTGTTTTAAAAAAATGGCGCGCTAATTGGTCTTAAGGTGCTGTCTTTTAAGACTGTTATAGAAAATCAGCTTATCTGAGGCACTATGTGAAGAATAAATAGCCTTGCTAATATGGCTATGATCAATTGGCGAATTGACATGTGTTGAAAGTTGTCAGTTTGGTTTCTTTCTCTGTAAAATATGCAAATACTCCTAATATGACAATAATTAGTCCATTTTATCAAGAGCAGTCCCGATTTATTGCATGGTGTTAGCATGGGGTTGGCATTTTACTGCAAAAAAGTGATGTCCATTTCTTTACGTTAACAAGTTAAGGATATCAGGATTCTTTTTATTTTCTTGGCCTGAAGATATCAGGGTTCAAGTTTCATTTACTTGTCTGTAACTCTATGGAGAACTTTAGCTTGCTCGCCATTATACCAGAATTTTCTGGAGTGAGAAAGAGAGAGGTTTGATTTCACTTTTGTGAGATCTAAAAGGGTAGAGGCGGGACCAACCTCTTATGCTCTTGTTCTTTCGTTATTTCAGTTGAAGTGATACCTTAGAAGATCCGGGTCGTACATTATCAAAAGCACTTTAATTCCCGCTCTTATATTTTGATTATTAAAGTGTGACACAAATATTAATGGTAACACAACTTGAATATTCAAAAAGTAGAACTCTGCGTAAAATTACCCTTGACAGTTTTAATGCATTCATTATTGAGGGTCCAACTCGTTTGAAGATTTAAATGAATAGTCTTGAGTATAGGCGGTGGTGAATGCCCTTGCTGGACATTTGTTTTGACATGTTGTTGTTGATTGTGACAGATACCTGCCTGATACAGTTGATGTTGGTGCTGGTGGACGGCAACAAAGGTCTACAGGCTGTGAGTGCTGAATTCAGAGTTCTTGGACCTGCTTCCTCTACTTGCTTCCCTTCAAATTGTTCAGTCATTAGTCAGCTACATTGTTTACTGTGGAAAAATTGAGGACAATTTATGATTTCTACTTATTTTTTTGTTAATCATTAGTGGTCTAACTTTTGTGCCTTTCACTTTTTCTAGTATCAAACTTGATATTTGTATCAAAACTCTTTTTTACCACATTTCATCCATTGTATACTGAGGATTCTGGTTAAGTTGTGCTTGCTTATTACAATAGATTCGAGGTTATATGTTACTAAATGGTGCATGAGTAGGACGGTAGGCGTTGTCCATTTCTCTGTCTGTTTCTTTCATTTTCTCCAGTTAGTTGTTCTAAATAATCCATAAAGGAAAAACAGTTCAAGTGGTGATAGTTTATTGAAAATAATTAAACAGGCTAAATTACTGGAAGTATGGGGTGAAATTCTACTCCCCACCCAAGAAAAAAAGTTTAGTTTGAGATTGTAACCAAAAAAAAAAAAAATCTTTCAGAGTCTTTCCTTTCTTATTAAATTCAAAATTTTTCAAAATTATGTATTCATAGAAATTTCATATGGTAATGTTAAGATTAATAGATTTGAATTTAAATTTAAAATTTAAAATTGATATATTCAAAATCATTGATGTCGGATGATGTAAACTTTTAAAAGTGAAAGAAAAATGAATTGAGATAAATATTAGAATTGAGAGATTAAAAGAGATAAGTATATTTTTATTTTTCAATGGATAAGAACGAGATAAGGAGTGGTCAAAATAATAAAGACACCAATAATAAAAAATTAAGAAAATGAGACGATTGGAATAATTAAAATTTTAAATAAATAAAATTTAGATAGAATTTAAAATTATAAAAAAACATGAATTTGGATTTGACATAGCCTCTTAAATATCTAAATAGGAGATTTAGTTTAAATCTAAATTTTCATCCATTCAAACACACCATAAATGAATTTGATTTTTTTAAAATTAAATTCAGGTTACATTTGGATGTAAGGAGTTATCACGTACAAATACTAATACGTGTATATGATATGTCAATACTTTCATTTTTAAAAGTATAAGATATGATATGTTTCTAGTACATATATATATATATATATATATATATTTTCTTTGTTTAAAAATGTAAAGCATTTTTTGAGGGGTTGAATGTTAAAAAATGTAAAACATTTTTAGTCTTTCAAAATGTGATCATTATTTTTCTTAAAAGTGCCCTTATTGAATAAATTATTTTATATTTATTTTAAATTGAAACACCCTATTAAATAGGAATAAATATGAAATTATAAAGTTAGTTTAAAGATATGTAATTATTTTATTAAAGATGAGATTCATTTAAAAATATCTTACATTTTTAATAGAGTGAGTATATATCATAAAAAATATTCAAAATATAGTTTCAATTTAAAAAATAACCAAGCTAACAGACATAAAAAGTTTTTATAGTAATACCAAACAAAACATAATCATTAATTATACTTTTATTCAATATTTGTCTAATTGCCTACCATCTATAATCTCTACTAATAGTTTACTATTTAGGGTCTATATACCAAAAGATTATGTCCTACTTTTATAATAAAATATATAATTTTTATCTTTTTCATTATATCTAAAACTTATTTTTTTTAAGGAAAATTCAATTTTTAACTTTAAAAGCAAATCACAAAAATATATTAGAAAAAAAAAATTATCCCCTCATTTAACGAATTTAATTTTTAAAAAATAAATTTAAAATATTAGCTTTACAGTATCAATTTACAATATAGAAGTATCGGATACGTATCAAAAATTAATTTTTTTAAAAAATAAAAAATAGTATTTCAATACTCTATGGATATATATTAAAAAAGTATTGGCAAATATTAATATATGACACGATGCCAATATAAATACATGAATCAATTTGAAATATCAGGGTTTCATATATGGGGAGGGAACTTTGGATATGAATTTAAGCCAAACTTATCATTTAGATTTATAAAAATTTATGAATTTGGATTTGATTCAAAGCTCCAAATATATGTTTTATCAGATTTTTTTTATAATTTTATATCTATTTACACCCCAGTCATCTGAAATGTTTTTTCAGTCAAATAGTTATTTAAAATGTTAGTTATTATAATCCAAATCCATTTTCATTTCCCCTCTCCCTTGATTGTTGCCTTTGAATTTAGCATTTATTATACTATTCAAATAATAAATTTTAAATTTAAGATCTAAATTCAAATCTACTTATATAAGCATTACCTTAAGGAAGATTACTGATGCCAAATATCGCAATTGAGATCAAGAAGCAGGTAGATGTTACTCAATTTTCAAGCCCTTAAATCCTTTAAATGCTACTAAAGTAAGAACATAAAAGACTTCTATCAACTAAAATTGATGAATGATAGAAGTTCACATCACTTAAACAAATAGTTAGGGATCCCAACCATAGTCCTCGTGCATGACAATTAATTGAAAGATGTCTACCCTGACAGAAATTCTTAGGTATTATATGAATCTACAAGCCCCTTTGTGTATGGGTCGGACCATCTTGGGTCCAAGAGTTTTCGCATGTTCGAAGCCCAATGGCTCCAATGTATCCACAGTCCGAGCCCAACTTAGGGCCCATGAGTCACCCAGCACCGACCTGATCCCTTCGGGATACATGAGCGAGGATGAGCCAGGACCACACCGTCTATATTTTTGAGCTACCGTCTTGGGAAAATCAAGGGTTTTCATAATCGAGCTCTGATCATGGAGCACCAGATCCTACCTCCGCGTATTGAAGATGCTGGCCTCGAAGAATGTGCTCTTCCTCCGGAATCCATCAGAGAAGCCTTCTTCAAAGCCGCTTTCGCCGTGAAATCGCGGGCAACCTCTGTTTTATCTGCTGACGATGACGATGCAGCTTGTGTGAAGGATCCTTGGCCCACCGGAAAGGACGCTTCGGATGTGGTCATCGGAGTCATGGCGGAGAGTGAACCAGAGGGACCCTGCGCCGTCGTGAAGGGGATTGAAACTGGTGCCGACGAAGTTAAGGTTTGTGATTGGGAAGAGGTGAGGGACAAGGTAATTGTAGGGGGAGAGGGAGAGATATTGGGAGAGGAGGGGAAAGCATGCGTGGATTCTTTGCAAGGATTGGGTCTTGAAGATGATATCAAGACTAGTAATGACGCCGACGAGGAAGAGAAAGAGAAGGAAGGTAAGAGACCAACTTTGGTTGAAGGTTTTGCTTGAAATCTTTGATCTTGGTCTGTTCTTGATCTATATACTCCACTTCAATATGATGCGTAACTTTCTCAATCTTGATTAGGAAGTGGTGTGTTTGTGGGTTCTGAATAGTGAATCTTACGTTGTACACAACACAAAGGAAAGGAGTTGGTAATGCAACACAATAGTCTTTCTTTGAACTGTCTGTGCCTTTTAAGTTCAGCATAAGCCCTATAATTTCCATGTTTATCACCATTTAAAGAGTCTCTTCTCTTACTTACGAGGTAGGAGACTAAGAAAAAGGTTACCGTAACAAGTTCTGTTAAAGCTATTACAGAATAATATAAAAGAAAGCCTCATTCACTACTTCTTAACCACGTGCAATTTAATTCTCAAATCCAAGGTGTTTAGAAACTTCTTCAGTACTTCTAGGTAGTAAAACTCAGCCCCTGGTTCAATTTGTTAGATTACATACGTGTAATCGTTATGAGTTAATCTTGACTAGATTGACTTCAATTCAACCACAATTTAAACCATTAATTCTTAAAACCACTATCTCGACCGTTTAGAGTTTTAGTACCTTGTAAGTTTCTTTCGATTTGTGTTCTCTTTCCTTCTGTAAAGTTCTGTGCAAGAAGAAAAATAAGAGAATTGAAAAATCTGAAATCTGCATTTCATCTTTTTTATAAATAAAAAAAAATTAAACCCCTGGTTTCTTAAATCTCATCTAGCAACTTTTGATGACTTGATGTCATCATTACAATTTTCATTCCAAATACGTCATATTATGATTTAATGGTTTCTTTTACTTGCTTCCAGTGGTCATTTTCATTGTTTTACTTCTGAAAATCCGATGGTCTAAGAAGAAAAGTATTCAATATATTAATATATTGGATTAATCTGAGAAATTAAGCATTGCAATATTTCCTCACATGATTGCAAGCACTCAAAATGGTCCCAGCCTAAGGTTCATTGACTGATATGGGCTTTGGCAAAACTACATGATATAATGACATTACTCTGACGTTCAGCTCTAACTCTCAAGTATATCCACTTTATAATTTATCCGTCTAGCTTTTGCATTTTGGCAATAAGCTCATGCTTTTACAGTCATGGATTCAGCCAATTGAAAATACATCAGACCAACCCACAGTCTCAGGATAAGAAGAAAAAAAAAATAAAAAATACTCAAGCATAAGCCTTTAAATGTCTAAGTTTCCATCATTCTCTCCTTTTCCTTGATTTTTTCCATGTAACATTTTCCCTCTTGATGATATTTTTTCTCTTACAAAAAAATATTTTCTATCTCCTATAATTCATCTTTGACGGTTTGATCCTTGACTTTTAAATGCTTGTTGATGGATGCAGCCAATTCTTTCAAACTAGATTTTGAAGAAAGTTTGATCTGCAGAAAACAGAATTATTATAAGTCACAGATCTTCAATTCATGAACAAAAATTCTAACTCTAGTTAGGAAATAATTACCGGATTGGTCTTATCACTTGCTCTGTAAAGTAGGAGAGTTGGATAATCATTCACCTAACTCATCAAAGCAACAATCCATTGTTAGAAGATAGATATAACCTTGCAATATACTTCTTTTGTCTCTACATATAAAATATTTTTTACCGAATCACGCAAACCAATAAAAGTTGTTTATCTAATTAAAAATATAGTAACATTTTAATTTTACCCTTAATTATTGTAAATGAAAAATGAATATTTTTTTAAAGTAAATTAATGACAGTATTTATCTTTTTCTCTTTTCAATTTAATCTAAAAAGAGTATAATGGTCCATTCATTAAAAAATATGCTAACCTTTTATATTTAAAGACAAAAAAAGATTTTAGAAAACTTTACATATAGGAACGAAAGGTATCTTTGTCGATTTTAATATGACAAAATCTTGTAGTTTTATATTATTTCTCCACACCTTGGAACTATGATATTAATAAAAAAAAAGAGAGTAAAATCACACACAAGGACCATTGAAAAATATAATTTACAAACAAAAATCAATATAAAATTAATTGTTGTTAAAGTGAGAATATAGAGACGATTTATCTATTAAGAGGATTAATAAAAAAGTATTGTTGTAAAAATAAAGATTTACACATGGTTTTTATTGATTTGAAAAAAGCTTATGATCATATACCAAGAGAAGTGCTTTGGAAAGCGTTGGAAAAAAAGAGAGTACGGATTGCTTATATTAAAGCTATACAAGATATGTATGAGGAGGTAAAAACTAGTATAAGAACACCTAGTGGTCAAATAAAGGATTTTCCTATAAAGATTGGATTACATCAGGGATTATCTCTAAGTCCTTATCTGTTTAACTTGATCTTAAATGTTTTGACGGAACATATTCAAGAGAAAATTTCCAAATGTATGCTCTTCGTGGATGATATAGTTCTTATAGCAAAGACAAGAGAAGAAGTTAATTGCAAACTTGAATTATGGAAGAGGACATTAGAGTCGAAAGGTTTCCATCTGAGTAGGAGTAAGACGGAATATTTATATTGTAAATTTAGTAAGAGACTATCCGACAATAATTTGGAAGTGAAATTGAGAGATCAAATTATACATCAAATGAAAAAGTTTAGATATTTGAGAGCGATTATTCAAAATGATGGCGAAATCAGTGGAGATATTTCACATAAGATTCAAGCTGGATGGTTTAATTAGAGAAAAGCTAAAGGAGTTATTTGTGACCGTAAGGTGCCTAATAAACTTAAAGAAAGTTTTATCGCACTGCTATCAAACCGGCAATGTTATATAGTAGTGAATGCTGAGCTCTAACGGGACAGCAAGAGCATAAAGTTGGAATAATAGAGATGAGAATGTTACGATGGATGTGCGGACATACACGAAAAGATAAAATTCGAAATGAGCACGTATGCGAAAAAGTGAAGGTATCACCTATTGAAGAAAAAATGATAGAAAATCGGTTGAGAGGGTTTGGGCATGTACAAAGAAGACCAAGGGAGGCACCAATGAGAAAAGTGGAACATATAACTTTGAATCCGATTAAGAGGGGTAGAGGAAGGCTTAAGAGAACACTCTTGGAAGTTGTTGAACACGATCTCTTAATTAATAATATTCCTAAAAACTTGATAAATGATAGAGCACAATAGCGTCTTGCAATCCATATAGCCGACCCTACCTAGTGGGATAAAGGCTTGTTGTTATTGTTGTTGTAAAGTGAGAATATAGACTTTTTTAGTCATCTGTCTTGGATAAAAACAAATTGCCAGTAGAATTTTTGTCAACATTGTAAAAGGTCTCCAGTAGATAGATATAACAAATTGCCAGCATTCTAAAATTCCATAAAAAAGTTCTTCATTAGTTCTTTATTGTCTTTTCATGTCATAAAATAAGCTAAGACCAATAATAGTTTTGATGGCACTTACTTGCAGTTTTGGGTGTTCATTAGCTGAAGCATCTATTCTTGCAAACATTAGATTACTTGATCCTTTGTAGTGCTTAGCCAACTTCTCTACTTGTTTGCTTGTGGCCTCACAATTGATACACCAAGGTGCAAATACCTATTTTACAGTCACAATAAGTTAACACAAGCTCCATCTAGAAGCCGGGTCAATACATGCCTTGTCATACTGGCTGGGGAAAAAAACTAAAACTTAAAGAATTCTAAATCATATAGTGTAAAATTGATTGCCTGTTTGTTTAAATTAAAAAAAAAATATTTTGATTAAACTAAATATGAGAGATTTGTTGGGAAATATGTTTTCACTTTATTTTGATATGCTAATCCAAAATAAGCTAAAAGACAGATTTTTATTTTTATATTTTTCACCACATCCCTCATGTAGTCATGTTTAGCTTAAGGTTCTTTCAATAAATCCTTCATTTTTGGTTTAATAAAAATCACTTTTCTTTTAAGCTTAGACAAACAGCCCTGAGAATTCATCACAGCTCAAGTTAAGCATATAGTTTACAATAGGATAGTTGCTTCCATCAGCACCAGTAGACTCATGACTTATAAATCACACATGGCTTACAGAAAATGACACGTCTCAGCTGTACAAGCAGTATTTACTTTCTTTTTTTTTTTTTCCTGAAAACATTTGAAGTTTAATCACAAGTAGATGGTATAAATATGAGAACTTTGCAAACCTCTAGAAGCACACTTTTCTCGCTGTTCAGAACCATGTCATCAAGAGTTTTCCCCACAACAACATGGACACTAGCGTTTGTCTGCAATAACAAGGAGATCAATTGAAGAGATTGACCCAGATTCAGTCTTGGGATAAAACTACCTAACTATTGTAATAGGAACATTTTACATACAATAGAAGGGACACAGGCTGCTTTTTAAATGAACCAAAGGGTTATAAATGATGTTAACCGCTTCACTAATGCACATTCATAGAGAAAATTCTATTGTAAAAAATATGTAAACAAACTTACGTTATCTGGTATTGGCTGTGATTTGAAGTATGGTGACAGAGAACCATCCACAAGTTTGTTACAGAACTCCTGAAAAAAGAAAAGAGGAAGATGTCATTTTGGCTTGCAGCTAAATTCTTTTTTTTTTTTTTTGCCCGGGGGGGGCGGTCATCAAGAGGATAATGATAGTTTTAATATTAGAATTTTTAATGATACACTGCTAGGGTGCAAGGACTCTTCACGTTCAATTGTTTCCTGATTTGCTTGTAATATTGTGCGGTTTTGACTGCGGCCTTATCAATTTGGGGGCAAAATTTTTTTTTTTTTTTTTTGTGGTGGGGGGTGTCAATGCATCTAGTTAAGTTTCCCTGGTAATTAATCAATGGAAGGATAATTTATATGGACAGAAACTTACTTCAATATTGCTTCTCGTCGGTTTTGATTCCAACAAAAACTTTGACCTCCCTCCATTCTCAAATGCAGCAACCTATTAGGCACACCGAGAAACAAACCGCATGAGTTTTAGGTTGCTAGAGTTATCTAAAATAGTAATAATACCTCAACAAATACTTGTTTTCAGTATGTAAACTAACCACTGTATGTTTTGATTCTTCTAGACCAAGCAATGTTAGGAAGGGCTTTGCCAGATTCTCATCGTTAATATCCACATGTATAAACATGATCTGCATTTGGAAGATATATTAGATACCAAAAGATTCACAGCCAAGATGAATGAAATCGTTTCGAGGTTCCAAACGTAGGCCAGAGCAACTACCCTTGACTTGAAAGTCCTTGCAACATCTTGAAGAGGCTCAAGAAGATTCTTGAAGTCATCATTGTTCGTGAAGACATAAACCTAGATAATAACAGACAATTAACTTCAACTATTATTAATCTAAACAACAATATAAATAATTATATATAAAAAGCAGCAGCCAATACAGACTCTGCTGAAATAAATTTATTATGCATCAGCAGCAGCATAGACAGACGCCACAAGTTGGTACATGCTTCACACAAGTTTTAGCACATCCCTTGGTGCCTCAAAATTTCCTAAATTTCACTGTAGGCATTCCTCCAGATATTAGAGACTTCTTGAACTTTGAGAATAAACAATTTTGATCTTTCTTTGGTTATTCAGATTAATCTAGCGTCTAACAAGTTCTTGTCAACAAGTTATCAGAGTTGCAGTTCCTTTTACCTAGTGTTAGAATCATTTATTAAGCATCAAGTATCTATCCTGAGGCCAAATCCATGGCAAGAAGTTAAAATACGAATTTTTTTTATTTTCACAGGAGCAGATACTTCAAATAGTATGATTATATTGCCAATGTTTTGCATCATTATGCAGGCTATTGCATCATTATGCAGGTTACTGCTTCCTTTTTATAAATGTATTTATTCTTATTTGGAATTACGAAGACAAAACTCCATCTTGAGGTCTTGAATTATTAAATCAATTGCTCAAACTAGAATGCTGCATGTTCACAGACTAATTTTAGAGAAAAGGAAGCCAAAACATTAAAAAAAGAGGCAGCTTTACTGGCTGCCGGTGAATAAGGAAAATTCATTTGCAACAGAACTTGAAAGAGATTATAGTAGCTAATTATCATGATAGGTGGAGGCAAACAATCTTGGTCCATATGTAATACTTTGTACGGATAGTGGAGTGCTTAATATCAGATGTAGATCGCATTGCAGTAATATTAACATGAAAGTCTAGCGAAAGAAGAAAATGCCCAAAACTGAACGTGAATGAAAAAGAAAAGATAAAAAAATCCATTTTAAAAAGGAATTTAAAAATATATGCAACCTGAAGCTTGACTGGGCTGGAGTAGACTCTCATAGAATTCATCTGTGTCAGTTTTGTCACTAATGGAAACTTATTGTAGTCCAAAAACTCCAACATTTTATCCATGCTGAAGGTTCCATCTACAAAGACAGAAAGCCTAATTGTTGAAGGAAGTTCTGAACAATTATCCTTCCAAAAAAAGCAATAATAATAATAATAATAATAATAACAACAGAACAAATGGTATAATTAGGGGAAAAACGGATGGTTCAGAGCAAAAGTTTATGTATATAAAAATGCCTTGTAATATAGTTTTCACTTTTCACCATATTTAAATGAGCCTGATTGATATGAATGCGTAACAGTTCAATGTAAAATCCAGGAATAACTCAGCAGCATAAATTCCAAGCACTAAATATCTATACGCTTCTAATGAGAACCAGAATATCTGCAGTTTTACTTTTTGATGCAAAGACACCAGAACCAATTGAAAAACAATCATTGAAACCAATTACAAACTCACCATATGCAGTATATCTTTCAGGCTCGCTTTTAACAATGCCAAGAAAACGATCAGAATGTTTGAGATCTGGAAAAAGAACTTTGGCTAGCTCAGCCTTATTCACTTCAACAAACTGGGTTTCATTATCGGACTTTGCAGCTTTAACAAATTCTTCATAGTCAGAACCCTGAGATTTTTAATAAAAAAGAATAAATTATTGCACCACTGCATTTTTCTTGGCAGAAAAACAGCTTTTTCTGATCAACACAGTGCCAATTATAAATTAATATGTAGCTCCACTAAATATGCAAAATCCATGAAATTGCTAAATATAAGGAGTAGCTATAAAATGCTAGTTCTTTATTGACATCAGCAAAATAATTATTAATCAGACTAGAAACCTCCAACCCCATCCAAAATAAGTCTAAAATTTAAATCCCATGCCTGATATTGATCAAAGAAAATGTGAATAAATAAACAGTAAACACCACTACATTTCATCCTGCATATATTTAAATAATACTGTAAGCTATTGCATCTATAAGCAACTGGAAAACAACTGAATGTATATTATGAAAACATCCTCAGTACAGCCAACCAAGGGCTAGTCTGTTTGCGGAATGGAATGGAAAGGAAAATTTTCAAATTGGAAAGTCATGTGTCCCCAGAGACCTTGTGAATACAAAAATTTGGACCTTCTTTCTTCATCTTTATTCTTCAACCTTTTATAATCTAAACCTTTTTTCTTCTGAACCAAAGAAAAACTGCAATTTCGTTTCTTTCCGTCGTGTCTCTCACTTCTACTATTTAAGATATAGAAATGACCGATAGATTAGGTCTTCATGATAAGGCAATGAAAATAAAATTTTGAGGTCCCCAGTTCAACTGCTAGTTCAAGCAAAAGATATAAAAATGAAAGAGTAATTCAAATAAATGATCAGTGCGGCATTAGATATCAATAATAGACAAATTTCACTCAATCTATCCTCTTTTAAATCAGTATCACTGATCTGGTAGCCTCAGAATTCTTCATAAATTGTATCGTTTACCTCAAATTTATCAAACAGACCAATGACAAATGTATGATACTTCTTAAGAAATTGTTCTGCCTCTGAGACAGAGCTTATTCTAATGACGGGTGTGCTGGTCTTCTTTCTCGTCCATATCACTATATCATCCCTGAAAGCATCAACCAAGAATCACTAGATGAGTTATACAACAGATTTGATTGACCATCATTATAATGATATGTATGTGTGTGCTTTGAGAATATTGTCCTGGCTAAATCGTTTAGTCTACATGGAAGAAGTTTCTAGAGGAACCAGTCTAATATTTCCAGCATAAACTGACAAACCAGTGTTAAAATGATGTAATTCTGAAAAAACATCCATATAGACACACCTACCTGAGACATAGAGGGAAAAAAATACTAGATACACATTTCAAGATACACAAGCAATATAATAGACTGATCAATATATAGTTATCAATGCTTTGAAAGCATTATTCCAGATAAACTGATTCGTCTACATTGAAGATAAGAGGTAAAATAAACCACGGAGATACTGGGCAAACATTTCCAGAACAAACTATTATTACAATGGTATAGTTGAGAATGAAGTCCTAACTGTCAGAAATGCATAGTGCACAGTGAAATCAACAGAATGCACTTGGGAAAGACCAATGACAAACAAAAGCTACGCATGCCAGGCAAATGTTTTCAGCCCAAAAGACTTAAAAATGCATAATTCTCATACATAATAAAAACAAAAATCGTATAGACATCTAACTATCTAAAGTATGCAGATTCAGAGTTCAAGAACATAATTGGCACCACGAGCTTATAGTGACAAAATTAACATCTTATGATGTAAACCTCCGGAAGCAGGCATAAATTTCTAGATTGCTAAAATCAGTCTACATTGGTGAAATTTCCAGATTATATAAACCAGATAGACACCAGGCAAAAGCTTGCAGCACAATTCTTAGTGAAAAAAGGAAACATTCAGAATATATACAGGCATACAGCTAACTAACTGAAATTAGCACATCCTGTGTTTAAGGGAGATATTGGTGTGATGATCTAATTGAAGGGATAGGGTTAACATCTTACGCTGTGAAACCACCTGAGTACACTTGGGAGCTACCATTAACAAACAGAAGCATAGTGGGGAAACCTTTGATCCCAAGGAGCGAAGCAGACTTAGGATACCTATCAGCATCAAGCTTCGCCATTTGAAGAGGGCTTCCCAATTCCTTCAGTAAAGTCGCAGCCTCTGCAAATTGGGGCATTAATTCAGCACTCCTAGGACACCACGGCGCATACCCCAGAACCAGAACGAACTCAAAACCATCAATAACCCTCTTGGTGTTGTCATTGTTGAGCTCAAGAACGATTCTTTGGGCCTTGGTTAAAACGTCCGCTTCCGATGACTTCACCCCACTACCCCCTTCTGCTTCCTTCTCTACTTCTTCGTCCACTGCTAGTAATTCTTCAATACCCTCTAAATCTTCGGTGTCCTGAGCATCTGGGGCTACGTCAGAGGCCTTTACAACAGCATTGAAACTCAGTACGAGGAGAATGGTGAGGGCCCAATAGAAGAATTTTAAAGTGGGTTTCCTGGTAATCATACTGTTAACTCCAATACTGGTGATCATAAGATACGAGCAGAGAGAGAGAGAGAGAGAGAGAGAGTGGCGTTTCGCGACTTGGTGTGAAGATCTAGTTCTTATCAGTAGAACAGTGTGAAATGGGGACAGAGATGAAACCAAGACTGCCCACAGATGGTAAAGAAAGGAAGCGTGGAGACGTTAGGCAAACTATAAACACGCCGAGATTTCAGGGACCCATGTTAATAAGATTTGAGGGAGTAATCGCGTGCCACTATTTTGACCGACGTTGATTATAATAAATTATTAATAATCACAAATGATAATATGCTATTTTTCTCATGTCCAAGATCAAGATGTCTTTTAAAAAAAAAAATTGGTGAGATGGATTTTTTGATTCTATAATGTTTTTGAATTTTTGTAAAAATTAAAATGAAAATTTTGGATCAAAAAGTTAATAAAACGATCATGTTGCGCAAAACTGTGAAGTAAATTGCAAATTGATGAAAGTTTTTCGCATTTTGATTTTGACTGGATTAACATTCTTAACAGTTTTATTAGCAGAAAATCAGGAGAGAAAATGCCTTTACCTTTGCAAATAATGATAAATTTTGTTATTGTTGATTTCTCATTTAAAAAGATTAGAAACCTCTAATGTATCCTTCTCTAAAATACATTGAGGCAAGTCTTCAAGGAAAAATTTCACAGCATTTCCCTTGCCAAATTTATCGACAATCAAACCCTTTAAAATTCTGAAACATCAATTCACTCCCCATAAATCCCACTTGAGCTAAAATGAAATTAAATTTTTTTAAAAAAATGATGCAAATAATCCTGCATTCACATGATCAGCAAATTATACGAGAAACTGGAAAACAAAGGAAGGGATTTTCTGTATTCACATTTAGCTTCTTCCCCTGTTTACATATATGTGCATGAAGTCTTGTTAAACTTGATGGGCTTTGATATGGAAGAATCAAGGACAAGAGGGCAAGTGATTTGCTTGTGGTTCTTTGCCCTTATCAATTTACCCACCACATATCCCACTGAAAGGATTTCAAATTTCAATGTCAATGGAACTTCAATACTAGTTTGGGATACTTTTACTGTTGAACCAGCCCCATACAGAGGAACCTTGTTGCCTTCCAGGTTCACTGATACTACTTTGTGACTCTTTCTTGGCTCATACAATTTGTTCATCTGCACATACCAAACATGTATGAATGCTCGAGCAAGTCTTTTAACATTCAAATCCCAGAAGCTATCTTTGTATCAAGCCAAGTCAGGTTTTCAAATTTGTCAAGTCAAACTAAACCAATCTCATACTAGAACATGTCTTTTATTCTACTTTTCAGTTAGTTAATTTGATATAATATAATCAAAAATCAAGTCAATTCAATCTAACTTGAACATTTAATAGCATGTTTACGAACGCATGTTTTTTCAACCTATCAAAAGAGTGGCTTTGGAGATTGCATATGTTGGAACACGTGCAAACGCTTGAACAAACATACACTTAAGTTTAGTCAACCATATCTATATAACTTGACGTTGGATAAAAGCTTTAATCAAAGGTTAATACATTTCAAATATTAGATTTAGGATAAGGCCTAGAGCCAACCCACTTACAAAATAAGTTTAGGGATAAACTAGTGTTTGACCTTCTACTCTGAGCCAAGTATGTTAATAAACTAAGCTTTAAGTCATGAGAACTTGAAGTAAGAGGAATGAGTTGTTACCTGACCAGAAGCAACAATGATGTCAGAGAAGACAAGGTTGATGGGTTTGGAGTGCACATGGATGCCAAAAAAATTGGCCGGATTATATATGTTCATTCTCAATGAGCCATTCAGAGCCATCAACTTTGTTGGAACCCCTGAGAAGTCTGATCCCTCCCCCACATACAGATTGTCTACTGTGAAGCCCTGCAACAATCACCTTGTCAAGACTTGACATAGTAAGAATTCTTTTTTTTTTTTTAATCACTTGGCAAGCAGCTTTAGTTTTGATACTCTTGATATTACTAGAATTGCCAATGTGATACAACAGTTCATTGAAACAAGCATTAATGTATGACTTAGAAACCCAACATTCTAATATTGTTGTTCAACCTATTCCATTTAAAATATTCTCTTCATCACTTTCAGTGGCAGGGAAGAGAGGAATGGCAAGGGTCATGACCCTCAAGTTTTTAACTTTTCCTTATATACAGCCGTTGTACATGTCTAGCCTTCTCATTCTTAAATCCATGCTGCACCTTAACTGTTGTTCTGCATTTCCTTACAAAAGTATGTTATTAGACTACTTATATTTTCTATATATGCATTTGATAATATACTGAAACATGACAGGAAATTATACAAAGAGATCTTAAAATAGGCGACCACTCATAAACAATGACGAAGAACAATTGAACAAAAAGTCATGAAAGACCAGCACATCATAATTCAAAATTTTAAAACTCAATTTATGACTTTATGGGAATTTTTTTCTTCATTTTATATTAATTATTAAGTTACAGTTTTTAGACACCCCTCACGTTAGCTAAAATTCATTCTTGGACATCCCAGTACCGTCAAAAATGACTGTATCATTTGATCCCAAACACAAGTCAACAACATAATCTATGAGAACAGGCAAATATTAAGTTCCAAAACAGTCTAACATAGCAGAAACAAGCAATTCGCATTTCATTCAAAGAATAACATGTTGGAAATCAAATCCAACATATGAGGCCACACATGTAAATATTAAAAATGTGTGGCCATTATTTAATTAAGTTTAAATAAAGTGATCTATTTGGATTTAAATTTAAAGGCTTAAGGGCATAATTATGATGGGATAAATGTGTAGAGACCAAGGTGATATTTATGATTTGTTTAGAGGCCAAATCACAAATATCACAAACCTATTAACTCTATAAATAGGGGTTGTGATCATTGGTTTGGTCGGTTAGAAGGAACGTTCTCCAATCCCCCTTCTTGAAAATATACAGGGTTCCCACCTGTAATAAATTCAGAAAACACACCCTCAAAACATGGCAATTGATTCAGGTATGCTTCCGTGTTCTATTTCTATCCCTGAGTTTTGATATAGAAATGATTTTATGGGCTTATATAGATTTGATTATGTCTTCATACTCTTCCACTGTTATGATCAAATCTATCATAACAAAGAAGAGTGATAGAATTTTCACAAAAAACACAAACTTAGCTTACCTTGACTTTAATTTCTGGCTTGAAAGGCCTACTAGCACCCCAGATGATTAAGCAAAACAGTGAAAAGAACCACGAAACTCAAGAGAGCAATAAATACTTGGCAACGCCTAAATAAAGTCTTGTCTCCATCATAAGACCCTTCTTCTAAAATCACATCACACTTGGGCCAGCCTTTGTCGTTCCTCCTTCTGCTACTATTACCTTTCCTTCCTGAAAATGATCTGAAAATACCAGAAAACCTGCTCGCTGAAGAATTCCTCGAATGGCGTCCAAATGATGAATGGTGTAAAGGTGACTCCATAGGGCTGTTAGATATTGGAGTCGCTTGCATCGATGATGACTTGTATCCATCGTGAGAGTCCCTCGAAGGGCTCTGTACGTATTACACTGGTTGTTTTGGAGACCTCGAAGGTGAAGATGGAGCTAAGCTTGTGGTGTCTGATTCAGATTTTGCAGAAACCATCATGGGTATGAATGGAATCCTCGAAAGATTGTGACTTGATAAGAATTTAAGGATGCCCAGAAAAATAGGTCTGTCACTTAAAAATCTCAGTTCCTATTTTCTCCACTTATGGTTCTTCTAGAGTATCCTTAAAAGGAAGCAGATTTTGCAGAGGATGCCTTTTGTACTAGGGAAAATGGCAACCAAAATTTCAGTTCATAATTCATAATTTCATATACTTGTAGAGTATCTTTAAAATAAGTAAAATTTGGAAAATGTTCGTGAAGATAGAAGAACCATAGAAAGTGAAGTGGACTGTGTTTTTTATCAGCAAAATGGGAATGGAGAGCACCAAAAAAGTAAGAAACACATATAATGAATGAATGCCAAGTGCCAACAAATTAAAAAAAAAAAAAAACACACTTTTTCAAAGTATGTGTGTATGATCATCCTACGCTTGGAAGATTAAAGAGATTGATCCAGTTTATCAAGATATATGAAATTCAAATTCATGATGAGAAATATGTTCTCAAAAAAGTGTCCGTAAGTTAAACTAACCTGAGTCAAAAACCTGAGATGACAAAATTTACACAAAAGAGTAGTGCGTTTGTGTGTGTTATAAGCATGCAGTGATGGAGTAGGTTTTGGGATGCATGTCGGCAGATGTTTTTTTAGTTAAATAAAATAGCAATAACATATAATGACGTTAGTATATAACATTCCATCGCAGCATCTTATTATTGAGAACACAACAAAACAGAAAATAACGCTTGGACTTGAGCGTCTTCATTTATTCCATCAACTTGACACTCAATGCCCAATTAGATTCTGGGTGTTATTGTCCTTGTCCCTGCCTGCCACCTTTTCATTTTTATTTATGGAAGAATTATAATCAAATTTTACATAAAAAAAATTAATTACTACGAAGTTTATTTTTATTATTATACACACTAAAAAAAAAAAGGATACAGCAACTTCACCAATACTCAAAAGCTATGGTGTATTTACAGTTATAAGTCAAACAATCAATCAGATTTGATTGAAGTATGAAACCTGGTGTAAGAGTTTCATTAAAAAAGACAATTTTTTAGTGTTACATTCACAAAAAGTAACATGTTTGAGGTATGGAGAAAGACAGTTTGGTATAAAAGCGTTGATTTTTAGAGATAACAAGTTATACATGAAAGGAAATATTTTTAAAAATAATAAATTTAATAAGGATAAATTGTAAAATTTCTTTTTTTTTAATAACATCAACAATTTAATTGCCTTGATTTTGATGAGCTAATTAGAAATGATTTATACAAAAGAGCATAGGGAAGAATTTTGAGTTAGATTCCTTGCCTATTAATAAAGACTACCTTGGCGAACAAAAAATAACTGAATAAATAAATGATGACTACTTTCTGTCAAAAAATAATAATAAATAGAGACTACCTTATCCATAACGAACTTTGTAAGGATCTCCCCTAAAGTTAAGGGTGCTACTTGCTAGAAACGTAAAACGCAATCTTCAAGTGAGTAGTGTCAAACATTTCAGAACAGGGAAAATTCAAAAAAAGAAAATATTCGGATAAGGTCGATGGGAAAATTCCGAGCTGACGAGGGTTCAAAATTCAATGTATTTACTATTTAGTCTTTCAGGGTTAGGATTGGGCCTCAACCCAGATCGCCGAGAGAACTTAGCGAGCAGCCCATTGACACACAGATGGCTGTTCTCCAACTCAATTTAAAGAAGCCCAAAAACTTGGCCTAATAGGAAGGGGGGAAAAATAAATAGCGGAAAGCCTTCTCTATTTATCAGAGCCAGGTTTCGATCCTGGGACCTGTGGGTTATGGGCCCACCACGCTTCCGCTGCGCCACTCTGATTGTTAGTTTAGGCTTCTCATATTTTTATATAAAATTAGCACGAGCATCAAAACAGCAAGGGAGTGAAAACAAAATGAAAAGTGGGGCGATGAGTGGTCCACATACAAGTCACGGTGGATAGGCATACGTGACAGACATTACGTGGGATAAAGGATATGGCGTGGAACTTATCTTTTCCTCTTATGAAATTAGTTTACTCTATCCAAGCCACGTGATTCTCAAACAAACAACTAATTAAGTATTAGCAATGGAGTTTTGTATATGAATATGTTAATCTTGGTTTTTGATGAGATGAGATTCTTCTGAGTTAATCAGACATGAATCAGACAGACGCCTATACGGACTCCATCGTCTTGAGTGTGAGACAGCCTCAGAATTAATACTACTATTAATATTAATTAATTAACGTAACACGGCAAGGCAAGAGGTAGAAGAAATTGACGTGGATACAGATCCTCACTTGGAAGATCTCTCAAGAGTCTCACTCCCATCATTGTTTGTATTAATTCTTTTTTATGTCTTTTTCCTACTTTTGCTCTTTTCGCTTTATCTTTTTGCTTACGTCTTCCTCATGAATGTTCAAGCATTTTTTTCTTCATTTTTATCATCTCTGTTTTCTTTTCTTTTTTTTTTTTACTAAACAATTTGTTTGCCAATATTCGACTCCGCCCCGAAAAAAGGCACATAAACGTGAGTTTACAACTAAATGCTTTTGCTCGTATAATTATTTTTTCTTTCTCAAGCATGTTAGGTATATTTATTCTAGTTTTCTTGCTCTCTATACTGTAGCTCTTTCAATCTCTTGCCACTTATTTTGGTAATTAATGTTCTTTATTTATTCGAGAAAAAGAGCACTCCTTTCGGTCTTCAAATCTTCTCCTTAATTGCTAAATCTTCAAATATATTTTCTCTCTTTTTTCTTAATTCCATCACTATTCTTAATATTTGTTCATAATAAAAAAGTTAGAGAGTAATAATATAATTTTGGTATGTGTCATTCTGACTCATGGGTCATGTTAATCATTCATGTATCGTTCCAATTTTATCGGATATATCTAGAGAGACATAGCAATCCTAAAAGTTGTATAAAGACTTGATGAGGTGGTCCATATGTATTGCATAACATTTGAGTATGTATGCTCATTTATAAATAATATGACTTTTTTTTTAATATATACAGTTTTTGAAACAAGAATTCTACCACTTTTAAGTTTTAATTCAATTAATTACTGAGGGTTATATAAAGAATTGATGATGCGGTCATTATGCGTTGCATAACATTTGAGAATACATGCTAAATTATTACTTTTTTATTATTATTATATCTGGAGATAATATCCAATTAAGATATTTATTTTTTCCGTCCTCCGCAACGTGCACAGGACAAAGAAAGGAGGCAGAAATAGGAAAAACAGTTGAATTTGGGGGTATATATGATAATATGAGCTGAGGGAACCACTCAACCCACAGTCCTTTATAAAGCCATCTGTCTTCTTCATTGCTGGAGCTTGAGATCCTTCTGGAGGAATATCGGAGAGAAGAAATGTTGGAAGGTAAGGCCTTGATAGAGGACACAGACATGCCTGTAAAGATGCAGATCCAAGCCATGGCTTCTGCTTCTGAGGCTCTGGATCTCTTTGATGTCGTTGATTGTAAATCCATCGCCGCCCATATCAAAAAGGTATTAACTTTCTTCCTCTCTGTTTCGTTGTCTCTCTCTGAAACCTGAAAAAGTTGATGAAAGTATTTTGGTCTGTGAGTTGCAGGAGTTTGATACCAGATTTGGGTGTGGATGGCAGTGCGTGGTGGGTTCAAGTTTTGGGTGTTTCTTCACTCATTCTCAGGGGACTTTCATTTACTTCACACTTGAGACTCTCAATTTCCTCGTCTTCAAAGGAGCTTCTTCACCTTCTTCCCCTTTCTGAAAATGACCTAAGCTCGTGTGTGTCTCCTTGTAAAAAAAGGGTTTCATCAAATCGAACTACCTGAGAAAAAAGTGCAGTTCTTTTTGTTGCCTTTTCTTTCCCCTGGTGTTGGACTTGGAACTTGAAACTTGTGGTGAGGAAGAACTGAGAGAGAAAGAGAGCAGGAGCAGCAACTTTTCCTGTGATCTGTTAATGCTTTGAAGTTTCAAGTTTGAAAAGAAGTTGCAGTGTTCATTTGTACATATAAATAAATGCTTAACCCATTACATACATATTCTCTTCTGCAGATCATTTTCATTGTTCTTGTTCCTTTTTCTTCTCTGGCTCACACTATGAATAGGGCGCCCTTATCCTAATTTCCTGGATGTGATTTGTTTTGCGGGTGGCATTTGGTTTTTCAGTCAACGTTATCTAGAAGACTGTCAGAGGAGGGGGAAAAAGGGCAAAAGACGCCCATCACATTATAAGTGGAAATGAATAAACAATGTTAGTGAGTGCCTGTGGATGTTATAATAATCAAATAGAAAACTGAACCTTTATTATTTTTTAATTGATGACAGTTAAGTTTCCTTCCTCAATTTAATGATTGTTAGGTTTTAAAAATTTTGTTAAGAGATAAGTCGTAAATAACAATTCAAAAAATTATATAACAGTATGAATTAACCTTCGACAAAAAATTTTAGAGACTTAACTGATATGAGATTTAAGTTTTAAAACTTAATTCATTTTTTTTATTTTTAATTGTTATGTTGAGATAATTTAAAAATATACTCTTTCTGATTTTATTTATAAATTATTTTTACCGACCTTATCAATACTATTACAATAAAAATATAAAGAATAAAATTTCATAAAATTACAAACATAATTATAAAAAAATAAATAAATTATATAATATTATTTTTTATTTTTTTTTAACAACAATTTAGATATTTCATTTGAAATAAAATATATTGTTAATCCAATAATTTATAAAGTAAACCACTTCACTTTTTTAAAAAATGATTAATAAAGTAGATCAGAGAGAGTAATTAATACTAAAATTTAAAAAAAAAACTGAATGTGATATTGAAAAATAAAAATACATCCAATGTGCTTATGATCTATAATGTATAGTAAACTACATTAAAAGTGACTCAAACATTGTAATTCAACTTTTTTTTTTTCAAATTTTAAATGATACAAGGATAGCACTAGTTTATTGTCATTCTTGTCTCCTGGCAAGAGGTTGTCACCGTTAGGTAAACATGATACGATAAGATATGTGATTTAATCACATCACACCAATTTATTGCATACAAGAAAGGCAGAGAAAGTGAATTTAGTTTCGCCCAAGATACATCAAATACAAGAGACAATGATCTGAATAACAATTATTTGGATGTAACCTCTTCTACAGACCTATGATGAGCATGGATTAAACCAATGGAGTTAGAAGTGGCTTGCCCTGGAAGTACGCCTCTAGATTTCCAAGGACAAGGTCAGCCATGGCTGTGCGAGTTTCCACCGTGGCGCTTCCAATATGAGGCAATAACACAACGTTTTCTAGCCCAAACAACTCTTCTGGTACATTAGGCTCATCTTCAAACACATCTAGTCCAGCACCACCCAGTCTGCCTTCAAGAAGCGCAGAGACCAGTTCTGGCTCATCAACATGCTTACCTCGACCGATGTTAATAAGAACACCCTTGGGACCAAGGGCATTAAGAACCTCGCGATTGATGACATGGTGGGTTTCCTCTGTAAGAGGGCAAGCAACAACCAAAACATTACAGTTGGATGCCAACTCTACAACGCTTGGATAGTACTTGTAATTTGAGTCTGGTTTCTCTGTTCTAGAGTAGTAGCTTATTTTACAGTTAAATCCTTCAGCTCTCTTGGCTACTGCCTTGCCAATCCTTCCCAAACCAATGATACCAACTGTTTTCCCAGAGAACTGCAGTGGAAAAATCAAAATCAAAATCAAAATGATATGGCAGTTGGCAGAGATTTTCATGTGCAGAGTACAGTACATTTGCATAAGAAAGATTGATACCCTATTTGGTAGCATGGAATTAGGACAGGAGAAGTAGAACTGGAACTGAAAAACTTGTTTGGTATGGTGGATCTCAATTCTCCAAAGAATCCAGTTCCATCAAAATTGGTGGAATTCACTTCCACCTTCGTACTCATGAAAATCACTTTCCTCCATAAAAAATGACCAACTTCCATGTACATACCAATCATGTTTGAAAACCTCATTTCCACCTCACTTCCTCTTCCACTTTTCCTTCCATCAAAAACTCTTCCATGTTACCAAATGGGGCATAAATTTCATCAACACCTTATATGAGATGTGAATGGAACAATGACAAGTCCAAATTTAATTTAATTTAGTCTTCACCTACATGTTGAGTCCAGTGACCAGTTTTATTATAGCTCTGTACTTTGATAGAGAAGCGAGAGCAAAGATAGTACTATGTCCACCTCAATATGGATTGGAGTTTTTAGATGTATTCGGAAATATGTTCGTTAATGCCAAAACCAAACATAAGAACTTGTGTTATACAGGATAACGTCAAATAAACATTATACAACGAGCCTGAGACCCAAAAAATGCACGGTAATCACACAAGACAAATCTAGCATATAAGAGATCTAAGATACATGAATAAATAAACGAGGCAATGAACAATACGGTGTCATTTTGTCGAATGGGTAGATGTCTAAACTCTGAAGCCATTCAAAATGCTCAGATTCTCATGTTTTTTTGGGGGGCCATTTAAAGCATAGAAACTCAACAGTCAAATAGTCAATATAAGGTTTAGCACTTAGACAACGCAAAAGTTAACTGCCAGGGCCGAAACTGAATGGGAAGTACGATGTTTTGTACAGAAATAAACAGATGGAAGTAGGATGAAAAACATCTGATTCAAAAATAGGGACTAGAAGCTCCTGTTTATACAGGAAACAAGAAAGTTTTTCTTCTTCGAACAAATAAGTAATTCACGTTTTGCTCCTTTTTTTTGGTTTTCCAAGGGACTCAAATTATAATGAACTACTGTACAATTACCAAATGCTATCCAGATAAAGGAACTGATATGGTTCAGAATACAACCGAAAGGGAAGATAAATAACTCCTACTCCAACCTAAAGTTTCAGAAATCAGAATAACTTAAGAAATTATACATTCATCAAAACAAGAGGCTATCCGGATTTTCATAAGTCAACTCTAGACACAACCATGCTGCAACAACAGTGGATAACAAAATGGTGTTCGACTTTTGAATTAATAGCACAACAGAGTATATTGATTGTTAAGGAACTCATTTACAAAGAAGAAAGTTCACTGTAGACTGTAGAGTAAAAGTACTTCTGCTAGAAGCACAAACTCTAGCTCCCAAGAAAATTATTCGAAAGCCTGGCATCAAAATGCACACTGTGATAAGCATCAACCAGTTGACAACATTGAACCATTTTTCTACAGGGGGGTTACCTACAACAACTCGAGATGCTTATAAAAGCATCCAAATTTAAAAATAATAAAATTAACCTCAACCATTGACAACATACAAAAGGCAGCTTCAATTGTTAGCAACGCAAAAGTCAACAAAAAAAAAATTTACACTTGCCTTAGTGGTCAACTTGTAGTCACCCTTCTTCCATTTCCCGCTCCTCACGTACCGATCACACTCACAGAGCCTCCTCAACACGGCCAGAATCAAGCCGATCGTCAAGTCGGCGACTTCATCGGTCAGAACATCAGGGGTATTTGTAACCCGAATCCCCTTCTCCCTACACTTGTTCAAGTCAATCTTATCGACTCCAACGCTGAAGCTAGACACGATCTCCAGCTTGGGTAAGGCGTCGATGAGCGCGGCATCGGCGCCATAGTTGGAGTTACCGACGACAGCGCGAATGGAATTGGCGTGTTCCTTGAGGAACTGGGCGCTTTGTGGGTAATTCCAGTACCGGTAGAGCTTGAAGCGTTTATCGAGCTCTTGCTCGAGGTAGGAGATCATTGGGCAGAGCATGAGAACACCGATGGATTCCATATCAGAGTAATTAGGGTTAGGGATCGGAGGAGAATGCGGCTCTGAGGGTGTGGCCAGTGAATCACTGGACAAGGACGAGCGAGGCTTTGAGGATTTCACCAGGGCTGTTTATGTGGCGTGCAAGTGATCTTTATTTCTTTGGAATGGAAACTGAAATTCATAAAAAGTCAGCAAATAGGACAGTACAACAAGCAAATAGAAGAATGAAGAGAGTCGACTCAATATTAGGTGGGAGATGATCAAAAAAATAAGATGAACTCCTTATAGAATGAGTTTCATTAACAAAAAAATAAATATGACTAATGACGTCTCTAAAAATAAAATTAATAGAAATAGACCAATCTCTATGCACTCTTAAACATATAAATATATACAGAGAGAGAGTAATTAAAATTTACTATAAAATAAGCATTTTAAAGTGTTTTTTTAGAGTCGATAATTCAGGCAGGCCGGGTTTATTTGAGTCAAACTTAATTCTGGCCAAGCTTGAAGTATGTTACCCTTTAAAAATGCCCATTTAGCCAAATCCAGCCCTAACTTTTTTCAACTGAATTTGAGCTGGCTAGTTGGGTCTGGCCAAAATTGCCAACTCTATATAAATATAGAATTTAAAATTATAACGGTCGAACTTATTCGGATCGGACTTTTTTGGATTGGACTTAAAGCATTCTATCCTCTTAAAATGCCCATATGTCAAACCTGACTCTAACTTTTTTTCAAGTGAGTTTAGGCTGGCCCATCAAGCTTGGCCTTAATTACCAGCTTTAGTTTTTACTCATGTTGTTTCTTATTACTTGAGATTTGAAAAAAAGATTTGTACATATCAAAGTTATTTTATATTATCATATTTTTTTCTTATCTTAAATTGATTCTATATCAAGAGTGCTCATAGTATCATCTTTCATAACTTGAATATATGTTGATACTTGGACTAACTATTTTATTTATGATATATCATTTAAAGTTGTCCAAAATAAAGACGAGAATAAGCATGAAGAGAAAAAAATCAAAGTCGTCATTAGCATGCATACCACACTTAAAATAAGAAAATATAAAAAGAATGATGATCCAAAAAGAGTTTAAGAAAAATGAAAACATTCATATAAATTTGGATGCATTTTGGAAACCTTGAACTTGACAGATATAATATCATTAGGTTAAAAGTATTTATGCTGAACTCAATTGATTTAGATATGCAATACCAAGACATTTGTGTAAAACTTCAAAACAGTGAAAAATAGTGCAGAAA